AAGGGATTCTAAGCCATATATTGATATCATAAAGCTTTATTCTCTAGACCAATGTCCAAAAGAATACTCTGATGTAAAAAGAAAAGCTACAACAACTTCGTGCAGAAGGACATGAAACTCTTATACATCCAAATCCCTTGTGGAAAAATTCAGAAATTTTTTATTCAATTTACTTTCAAGCTAAATGAAGATATCAATCCAACAAAAGCTACTCATCTAAGAATGAGTCACAGTGATCTTCAATTAGCCAGAGAAGAATGCACACAGCTGCTTAAATAAAAATTAATTGAGCCAACAAGATCTAAATAGGCTTGTCAAGCATTCTATGTTGAGAAGAGATTTTGAAAAATTAAAGGGAAGAAAAGGTTAGTAATTGATTTACAAACCTTTAAATCATTTTATAAAGAATGACGAGTTTCCAAACCCCAAAACTTTCACTTTTCACACTCTCATTAAAGAAGTTGTTATCTTCTCCAAGTTTGATTTAAAATCAAGATTTTGGCAACTTGGTATCAATCTGTCTGATAGATATAAAATGACATTTTGCATTCCTAATGTTCAGTACCAATGGAAAGTACTTCTTTTTAGTCTCAAAGTAGCACCTTCTTTGTTCCAAAAAGCCATGACCTGAATTTTTGAACCTATCTTAGGGAGTATTCTCATCTACATAGATGACGTTTTATTATTCTACAAAGATAAAAAATCTCACAAGATTCTCGTGAATGATTTCTTTAATCTTGCAAATAAGCATGAAATCATGTTATTAGAAAGAAAAAAAAATTAGCTAGCATAATCTTAAATAGACTTTTTGGGTATGCATTTTTCTCAAGGAAGTTATCAGCCTCAACCATACATTGTAGAAGAATTATTAAATTTTCATGTTGAAAATCTCACTGTCATACAAACTCAAGAGTTCTTAGGAATTTGGAACTACATTAGGGACTTTATTCCTAATGTTGGCAAATATACCAACCCATTCTTAAAACTCCTAAGAAAAAATGCATCACCATAGGGATCAAAACAGACAAAAGCAGTTAAGCAACTAAAGAGGATAGCTCAAAATTCACAGAGAAGAGAAAAGAATTCTTCAAACAAATGATAGTGATCATTATTGGGTAGTAGTGTTACTAGAAGAAATCAATGGAAAGAAAGCTTATTGTGGTCATGCAAGTGGATAATTTAAGGATTCTGAAAAACACTATTATACCACCTACAAAAAAGCTCTGGTGGTTAAAAATGGAAAATAAAAATTTGATTTCCATTTAAGAAGACATACTTTTGAAGTTCAAATGGATAATTCATCTTTTCTCACTTTTCAGGAATTCAAAAACAAAATGTCACGTAATCCTCAAATTCTTAAGTTAAAAAATTGATTTTTCAGGTATGATTTTATTGTAAAACACATTGAAGGAGAAAAAGATATTGTCCCTGACCTCTTGTCCAAACCAAAAAAACTCATCTCCATAATTACTTCTGTTCACACATCCACTAATTTTTCCTTTAAATCAAACACAAGTCAGTACCAGCAATCCAAATTCATATCATCATATTTTTCCACCATAATTATGTAAAGAAGAACCAATTTATCCCGGTTATCTCAAAGATTTTACCAACAATCATATGTTTCATTACTTAGCCCTATCTCTCCATAAGCATAACATCAGACCAAAACCTACTTGATTTCACCTTGATGCTCCTTTTCTGAACATCTATGCATAACTGATGGGGATGCCTTTTTATGAAGAAGATTTATGGTACTTATGGTGTGTATCATCACTCCATTATTATTCGATCCTATTTCCCACATTTAAGATGTTTGAATTTCTAAGTAATCCTCGTAATGACTCTTCACTCTTGTGAAAGTTCCTAATCTGATATCAACCTATACCAGTATAAAAGAAAAATATACAAGCTGAAATGGAGAAAATTAAGATCTGAAAAGAAATAGAAGAATCAACTAATCAATGTCCAAAGAATATTATAGTGGTAATAATTCATAGGCTATATTTCCAACATCCTCAATCAAGATTACTCTATACTCAAAATCAAGTCATAATTTAGGGAACATTTCCTAATCTTAGAACCTTTACTCAAGATGATCATCCACCTTTTCATCAAGCTGATATGATTATTTATTTTCACATTATTAATAGTACAGATAGACATAGGAAAAAGATAAAATCCACCTATAACAATCTTAAGACTTTAGATGTGATATGCCCACCTCTTCCTAATGAAGATCATATATGGAATACTATTAAACAAGTACTTCCACCTGTCAATGTATCAAAAGAAAGAACAGTGATCCTAATTGACATAGAAGGACAAATCCTCATATGCCAACAACATGAGACATTCAGACAAAATATGTTCCAAGATTCTCAAGATCCGGATGAATCCATTCTAGACAAATTCAGATTGAAATCCGATGAAGACTCCAATCTCTCTCCTAGTCATGAATCCATATTTAAGGACTAAATAATTTATGTGTTAGAGTGCTTTTGTCTTCTCAATGTACTTAAAAATTTTTTATAGTTTAAAGTATCTTTAGATAAAAACATCTTTATACTAGGTGTATATCCAAATGTAATAATCTTTTACTCTTTCCTTCCCCTTACTATATAATTTCAACTTTAATATTTATTATATAATAAAGAAGAATTAGTATTGTAAACAATTGTTTTTAATATATATCTAAAAACATATAATAAAATTTATATATATATTAAAAAAAACTAGATACACTAAATACTAGATTATTTAGGATTATATATCTTAAATACTAGACAAATAAGAAGAGATAACAACAACCCTTCTTATATAATTCAATCTTATAATTACAAAAAAATAGTAATATAAGATTACGATTATAGTAGATATAAAATTATTTATTCTGTTCCACTTTATGATTAATTATCTATTTAGTATGTATAGTCACATAGTTAACCGATCATGTAGATCCGCTAAAGCTCACTTCTCACAACGAATTAGCCCAGATGAATTCGATAAGTAGTTTTCCTAGTCTAAATTTAAATTACATAATTTTTTTATTTGATTAATTCTTTTATGTATTTCAATGAAACTAAAATCTAAATCAACAAAATAAATATTTTAACAAAAATAGAATGAAAGTCACTTAGCAATAGATAAATATCAACTTACACAAAAAATAAATTTAAAATGTATATTTTTATTTTTACTTATTTTTTATTTTTGCTTGTAAATATTTTTAATTTAAGAATGTTTAGGGTTTAGAATTTAAAATTGAGGATAATATTAATTTTCTAAAATCTGAATACATTTTAGCAGTAAGATTAGACCAAGATTGACCCAAGTAAATAAACCTCTTGCTTTTTGCTTTTTTAGAAAATAAATTTACTTATTAATATTATATTTTTAAAATAAATAATAATAAAAATAATTTATTAATAGTATTTAAATGTTTTTAAATTAAAAAACACTTCTTATTTTCTAATTTAATTTTTTAAAAAGAAAAAATATTTATTAGTTAAAAATTTAGTAGTTAAAATTATAATTAAATAATATCCATGTATGATAAATTACGTAATTATATAAGTTATAACTGTTAATTTGTTAATTGATAACTAGAACTTTACACTTTAAATAACAGATAATTTTTAATATTTTAATTTTTTTTTAAAGAAGCTAAAAAGGCATTTCTTCATTCTATAAGATTATAATAATAAATTCTTAAGTTAAATCCATTTTTAAGGTTTATATGAAATTGTATATTCTTTTAAAGTGATGATTTTATTTTATTACTTCTATGTATAATTGTTGTTCTTTAATTTATTATAATATTTATTAAAAAAGTTTAAATTATTTTTAAAGTGTTTGTTTTATTACTTTTAAAGTGTTAAATTATATTAAAAAGAGTTTATTGATAAACTTAAAGAAATTATAACTTATTTCTATAAAATTTATAAGAATGCAATAGAAAGACTCTTTAAATGAATTAATTTTATTAATCAATAAAAAATGATTATGTTTTTTCAATAAATAAATTTTCATTCTAAAAATTTTAAATAAAATTTTAATAAAAAATTATTTACTTAAAAAATTTGAATGTTAAAATTCGTTCTAAATTTTAGTTGAAGATAAGTCTGTTTTAGTTTAGAGTGTAAAATATGACTAACCATTTCAATATACTCAATCTCATATATATATATATATATATATATATATATATATATATATATATATATATATGACCATTCATAATATTTTTATTAAACAAAAAAAAATTAATATGAATTTATTTATTTATTTTTTAATTATTTTATATTATAAAAAATTAAATATTTAATTATAATTTAATAACATTTAATGACAAAAATGATTTTGAAAAGATAAATATAAAAAAAGTAGAGCAGTAAGGTTTTAAAAGTTGAAAGATTAAAACAATAAATTATTTAAAAAATGAAGACAAGAATAAAAAAAAATATTTTTAGTAATTGAAAAGTAGTGTATACTTTAAAGCCACACAAGTAATACTATAAAATTAACTAAAAAAAATATGACACTAAATTTGTGTGAGAATAAATTCTTACAGTTAATTTCAAAGTTAATAAGTGGATGCACTGTATAATACCCTAATAAATTCAAAATCATTAATTTTTTACCAATTTAACCCGATAATACATATCTTTAAGATTTTATTTCTATATATATGCACTAATTTTGACCTGATTTCGAGTACTTCCCAATTAAAAAAATCTGGTCCGTTAGATGGGTTGACTTAGTATGCAAAACGAAGGGGGAAACATTGTCACTTCGTGGACCCAAAAACGTGGCCTACCAATTTGAATTCAAAATGAGAGGTAACGTTACGATTCCGTGGCTGAGGTTCGGAGCCCGAAGGGAACCCATTCACTGTTATCCGAACCAAAGCTAAAGACCGTACCAACACTGTCTCATTGTAACTCCAGAGAACCACTGCTCCTCTCCTCTCTCAGTTTCTTCGACTCCTTTGCAGAAGACCCACATAACAAAAGACACTTTTTTTGTTCTCTTCTCTTTTTCTTCAACTTGGGTATGTGAAGAAAACCCACATAAAAATTTTTTGCTTTTTTCTTGGGTATGTACTTCGTTTTCTTGATCAAAGATCCTTCTTGGGTTTTTTCTTGTCTTGTTTTGTGTGATCATTTTCCTTTTCACTCTCATTTCTGACAACTCTGCAGGAACCAAGTCTTGGGTTTGTTTCGTTAATCATGGATCATTGTTCAAGAGGTGGGGTTCATGAATTCAACTTGGCTTCGAGAAAAGCAGAAGAAGCGGGTCAGTTTCTGTTGTTTTTTGTGTTCATAAGATGCATGCTTGTTAATTGTTATGCATAATGATGATAAATAAGTATTTTTAAAAAATAAAAAATCTACAATTAGATGTTCCTTTACTAATAGTATTGATGTTTTGTCTGAGAGAATGTTACATAAATTGTGTAGCTTGGAGACGCTATGAGGCAACTCAGTGGCTGGAAAGCCAAGTGGGTCCTCTTGGTATATCTAATCACCCTTCAGAGAGAGAACTTATTTCTTGCTTGAGAAATGGTCTCATTCTTTGCAATGCCATTAACAAGATTCATCCAGGAGCAGTGCCTAAGGTATATCTGATTCATCGTTCATGTCTACTTGACCATCAAAGAGAAGTTCATGGTTCAAATTTTGCATTTTTATTCTCCTACTCGACCATAAATGCTTATACCTTTTTTTGATGATAACATTTAAAGGTTGTGGATAGTCAAATAGCTTCACAGTCACTTACTTGGGATTCCCAGCCTTTGCCTGCCTATCAGTATTTTGAAAATGTCCGCAACTTTCTTGTTGCAGTGGAAGAATTAAAGCTTCCAGCTTTCGAAGCCTCTGATCTTGAAAGGGTATGTTATTTATAGTTTCCACATCTTCCAAATGCTTTGCCCAACGTTGCTTGTTTCGATGTATGTGCACTTGATGTAATCTAAGAAAGTGGTGTTTCCATCAGTAAATTTGCATAGTGCTCGAGCCTGTGATTATAGATGAGCATGTGCGAATAAGTATGTTGGTTGTTTATTTTCAGGATACACTAGAGATTGGATCAGCAGCAAAAGTGGTTGACTGCATTCTAGCGCTCAAGTCATTTCAAGAGTTGAAGCAGATGAACAATCAGAATGGATCCAATTACAAACACATAAAATCTCCTTTACTTATGCTGTCGGCCAGTAGAATGCATTCAAGAGCTGCAGCTGCATTACCCTCTGATGCCTGTAGGCGCTTGGATTTGTCTGCCACACTGGAAAAAATGCCTCCCGTAGAGAGTGATTTTCCGAAACGAGAAGGTTTAATCCCTCAATCTTGCTAATATATTTGTATGATATGGTTTCCGAAACAGGATAATGTGAGTACCGGAGTTTGAAATGATGAGAATCTTAATATGGTCTTTTCTCAAAATTGTAAATTTTCACTCTAACTGTTATAAATTATTCATATTGTAACAGTACATAACAACTGTTGGAAAAAGAAACTGATTATGTGAAAGAGTGAATTGTTTTTGCTTGTGTGCATCTTTTGCGATAATTTACTTTAAATCTTGAGTAAGAGCACTGTAAAACTCCAGCATATCATCATTCATATATTACTATTGGCAAAGAAAGAAAATGTCATTCTACTTGATGACTAAAGAACATATATTTTGGTTTGATTGCATGTGATCAATCAATTGTTGTTAGTAATTCATTTAGACCTTGATAAACTGTCCCAATATTCTCATATGCGCTTAAATAATTGTATTTTTTCTTGCTTCTACCTTTTTTGGATACAGCAGAAATTGTGGAATCACTTGTCAAGCTACTGGTTGACCGTATGTTTGATGCCAAAGAAAATATTGATGGAAACATTATTGCTTCTCTTCGAAATGAACACCTGGTAGCGGTAAGTTTGTAATCATACAATAAGTTTAGTTCTAAATGAGTTCCTAATGACCCTCATCAAGAAATAAAAAATGAAAAGTATTAAAAGTATGACATTTAATACATTAAAATTTTCAAGGGTTTTACTTTTTCAATTAATATTTTCTATTTTTGAATCCTTAGCAAGTGAACTGGTTAGTATTTTCCTTAAAACTAACATGTTTAAATATATTGTTTGACAATTGAGTTATATCTCCCACCTAACTATTTTGTCTTTACAGCAGGATCCAATAAAGGTATTTAATCAGATAATGGCATGTTGTAATGCGGAGCAGACTCCTACAAGGTTCCACGAGGTTAGTTTGAGATGATCAAATATATGCTAATTTTTAACAAGTTATATTGTCATAAATAATCGCAAAAAGTCATTCTTGGTTTTTATTTTTTTGATGAACAATACTATTGACAATTGAAGTGATAAACTCTTGAACTTGATGTATGTTGAGTCATCTTAAACCCAAGAGCTAATATTTTGGTCCGATAAAATTGATACTACACAAGGTTATTAGCTTATTTCATTATTCATATTTGTCTTGATAGCTTGCTTATTCTGTTATGATGAAACTTTTAAAGATTTTGAAAAGGATGATTTCATGTATTATGTGTCTATATTTTCTTTCTTTGCCTAAGCTTTTGCTATGATATTTAACATAAGACTTATTGACCTAACACAGTTGCTGTTGATGCCAAAGGATTTTGTGAAAGAAAAGAGTAGCTTACCACCTCATCCCACTTTCACATCTACACAATTCGATGCTTTATCTGCACCTGAAAGTTCCAAGGTACCTTTTTTTTCTCTGTAATATTACTTTTTAGGATGGTTAAAATATAGAGAATTGCGAATAACTTTTTTGTTTACAAAAAAGAATTAAACTGATCTTCGTAATTTGACTTGTGCTTTCCTTAATACTTCCTCACCCTAAAAATTTATTATATTTTTGTATCTCCAATGTAATAAATGTCTTATTTTCCAATAAAAATTTACTACTTTTGGATGTTTAAACTTAGTCTTAAGGGCTAAAGGTTTACAAAACAGTTATTATTACTGTTATGGTTTTGATATAATTTATCTCAGATTTGGGTTTTAATTTTCTCAATGTGCATCTATTCAGTGTTTGCGAGCTTGTCCTGCAAAATGCAAGTGCAATCAAGAGCATCTTTTAGACATGCAGGAAAAAGAGCTTATGGTAGGCATTTGTGCAACTTTGTATGCTTTACTGCTTTTAACCAATGCATTACACATGGTTTAATTAGAAATTAGAAGTTAGAACTTATGTTCAACTTGAGATGCTACAGAGGTCTACTGCATTTATTGAGATATTTTTGTAAAATTGTATTTTATTTTTTTAGGATCTCAAGGCTTTGAAGTTGAAAGTTAAGAAAGAGTTTGAAGAGATGCAGTCAGAGTTTCAGAGGTTTTTTAATGATATTGGTATGAATGACTCTTAATACTGCAAGTTTCTTGATTTTTAGTATATCATTGTTTAAGTTAATGAGACACGCATTCAATTCATCCACTATATATCCCAACGATTTTAAATTTCATGTTTCTTTTATTGATCTTTTGATGTGGGTGGATGTCTCTTTAGAAGATAAAAATTAATAACATAATGATAAAGAAATGTACTGTTGTTTTGAAGGGATGAATTTCTTTTGCTGAACTGTTAATATAAAATGACATTTGCCTCTAAAAACACGGTTGAATGTTGATAATCTGGTGTTGTGTTGCTTCATGACTTCAGGAAGTCAAATACAGGAGATGTCAACTAAATCTCTCGGATATCACAGAGTGGTAGAAGAGAATAGGAAACTGTACAACATGGTCCAAGATTTGAAAGGTTGATGTACTTCTAGTTTTGATTACATTTATATTTAAATGTTCACTTGCTTTCTGTTTATTCTTGACCATAAGTTAATTTTGTCAACCTTTTCAAATTCAAAACTCAGGTAATATTCGAGTTTACTGCAGAATCAGGCCCTCATTCAAGGCTGAATCCAAGAATGTTGTTGATTTCATTGGGGAAGATGGTTCTCTATTCATTTTAGATCCAACGAAAACACTAAAAGATGGAAGGAAACTTTTCCAGTTTAATCGGGTTTTTGGTCTAACAGCTGGTCAAGGTAGAGTTCCCTGAGCTAATAGTTCAGACTTTGTGCACCAATTTGACTGACTTCTTCTCTTTCTTTCCATCTCTTTGTTGAAATTTTCTATTTTGGACTCAGATGAGGTTTATAGGGATACTCAACCATTAATTAGATCTGTGATGGATGGGTACAATGTTTGTATTTTCGCTTACGGTCAAACTGGATCAGGGAAGACTCACACTATGGTAAGATACTTGATATCATTCTGCTTCAGTTGCACAATGATTGTTTTATTTAAATTGATTCTGAAAGAAGAATAGTTAAGATGAAAATCGCAATTCTGATAGGAAAGATACTACTATTCATTGTTATCTTGGCTACTGGCCAATGCAAGAACCAACAATGACTGTTTATTATATTTGCAAACAGAAAGCCAGGATGTTTTCATTTAATATTTCTTCCTTGCTGCAGAGTGGTCCTTCAGGTGGTAGTGGAACATCTAAGGATATGGGAATCAATTATCTGGCTCTTAATGATCTGTTTCAAATGTCTAATGAAAGGAGGGACATCATAAACTATGAGATTTATGTTCAAATGGTTGAGATTTACAATGAACAAGTTAGAGACCTACTTGCAGAGGACAAAACAGACAACAAATATCCTTTTCATTTTCATTATTCCATTGAGTTGGAAACATTTTCACACTGTTCTAAATAGATAAGGAAGAGAAAGCTTTATTTCTAGCCTTTTGATGCTATTATTTGGAAGTAATCTGCTACTTAACTAACCTCAAATTAGAAATCCGGAGCTGCAATGATGATGGGTTGAGCCTTCCTGATGCTAGATTGCGTTCAGTGAATTCCACAATTGACGTCATCACCCTCATGAAACTTGGTGAGGTTAATCGTGCTGTCAGTTCAACTGCAATCAACAATAGGAGTAGTCGCTCCCACAGGTGAGTTTTCACTTTTCAGGAGTTTTGGTAAATGGTAACTGCATTTTCTTATATAAAAGTAGTTGAGTTTATTTTTGGCACTGATAAGGTTGTTCAACATGTCTCAGTGTACTTACTGTACATGTTCATGGCAAAGATACATCTGGGAGCTCCATTCGGAGTTGCCTGCACTTAGTTGACCTTGCTGGAAGTGAACGAGTAGACAAGTCTGAAGTTACAGGGGAAAGACTAAAGGAAGCACAATTTATTAACAAATCTCTTTCCTGTTTAGGAGATGTGATCACAGCCTTGGCTCAAAAGAATTCTCACATCCCTTACAGGAACAGCAAGCTCACACTTCTTTTGCAGGACTCGTTAGGTGGACATGCTAAAACGTTGATGTTTGCTCATGTAAGTCCAGAAGCAGATTCATTTGGTGAAACAGTGAGTACTTTGAAGTTTGCTCAGCGGGTTTCCACTGTTGAACTGGGGGCAGCCCGTTTGAACAAAGAAGGCAGTGAGGTTATGCAGCTTAAAGAACAGGTAAAAGAATGTCTACTTTAAGTCACAACATTTGGCTACTTGCATTCATGCTGAGTTAACTTTTTCTTGAGCCATAGAATTGGACAATCACTCAGTATCATAGCCATATGTAAGAATTCACCTCTAATCAAGTTAAAGTGATTCGGTTTTCCTCTATTTTATATGAATATTAGGTTGAGAACCTTAAGCTTGCATTGGCAAACAAGGAAGCTCAGAGAGCAATGTTCAATAGAATCAAGGAACCACACACTCCATTAGAGAAACCAACACTGGTGTCTGAGAAAACTCCATTGCCCCCTCGAAGACTTAGCATTGAGAATTGCAGCGCTGTAAAGACTGACAAATCTGTGAATCCTGAGGATAAAAGTGGAGTCAAATCACCTTTGTTACCTCGTTCAAGAAGATTAAGCTTGGAAGGTTCAAAAAATATCAAGAAAGACAGTCTACAAACAAAAGCATCAGCTGATATAAACAAAGCTTTACAGTATGAGTCAGCATATCTGCAGAAACATCGTTCACTGCAAGATCCAGAAGCCGTGTCAAAGCTAAATAGCCATTTCAGCAATGGCAACTCCAGGTCAGAGTTGCATGCCAAAACTCCTCGAAGTCCTATAAGCATTTCCAATCAGAAGAGATTGATAAAAGATGGTGGAATGCAAATTCACCCTCTTAAACTACCTCAGACACCTGAACCACCAATGCTGGATAGAAATGATGCACATTTTGCTGATTCCCAGACAACTAAGGCAATCAGTGGAACAAATGGAAAGGGATCTCAGATAAGAAGATCATTGAGAACAATTAGCAAACTTATCAATGGTCCTGATAAGAGGTGTGTTTTTTAACCATAGTGTTTTATGCTTGACTTTGATGGTGACACAATGTGTCTTACTCGTTAGTCCACTACGAAAACTTTGCAGGAGCCAACCAATTTTGGTTGAAGTGAAGTCACCCATCAAGGGATCTGGCCATAAAAATCATGTAAAATCCCCACTAACAGCTGTTGAGAAGACTAAAAGAAGGCAATCTCTAACGGGAATTCAAGCACCAGGGCCAAACAACTCTCGTAGATCTTCTCTTGGAGGGAAGCCAATAGTATCATGTAAGTTAAACCTGTAGAACTTCCATTCCCATTTCTCAAATGATATATGAAAGATAGGTATATCCATCATGCTGTTATAATGCAATATATACCAAGTCCATAGTTTTGTGTTGTTATTCAACATACTAAGTCCATAGTTTTGTGTCACATATCTGTAGATGACAAGGACAAAAATGCTAGAACTCCTCCAATTCATTCAGAGACTGCAAAAAGGTGGCTATAGATCAGTGCCAGTGGTGCTTTGACTCGAAGCACGCCCATGACTTGACTTCAGTTTAGTACAAAGCTCCATTTTAGTGGGAGTTTTTTGTTTTATCAAGGAACATTGCATTATATAAAAATGGCCACAAAAGCACATGTAGATACTAGATATTTATTATATTTCAATGAGGCTATATCTCTTTTTTTCCAAAGGGGTATTCTTGTAATTATGAAATCAAGATCATAGAACAAAAGTTAAAATTTTCAAGTTCTTGCATGTAGCTTCAAGTTCATCCTTTTATCCTCTTGCAACTTCCAAGATTTTTTAACGACCAGAGACTCAAACAATGCTTATCAATTGTAAGGGATGGCTAAATTCACAAATTCATAGATTTGTATAGAATTTGAACCACATTGCATGGTGGGCAAGTTTTGTACAAAATTCGGAGCCCAGTTCCAGTTGCCCACATGCTTGGGTTTTGGCCTAATGGTTTTTCCCTGAACTAAGAACCAAATCACATGATTGTTGCAGTTGAGTCATTTTCCCTCTGGAATTTGTCAAAGTCTATAGTAAAATAAAGACCGGAAGATTATCAATTATTTTCAAAATTGATTTTATTTATCATACATCATTAGTCATCACAATAATTCAATAATTTGCATTGATAAATACCACATATAGTAAAACATAAGGGAAATGTCCTGAGCTATAAATATTTGTTAGTAAATTAATTTTCTTCTTTCATAAATATTGAGAAAAAAAATACAAAATTCATTTGTATTGTACCTAATCATTCAATTTAAAAGATAAGATATCGAAATGAACATTCAAACACAAGATAATGAGTAGATAAACGTGCGATTTTGGTAAACGTATAATGCTTACAGTTTGTTGAGAAGCACCTAATAATCAACGATACTTAAGAAAGTAGTGAATCTCAAAAATTGTTTATTTTAAGCAAATGTTAAATAGTGCTTAAGAATTGAAAAAGAAAATGTTATAAAGAATGCTAACATATTTTAAGCAAAAGTTGTCAAGAATGTTCAATATTTGTTTGTGTCACGCAAAAGCTAACTAGCACCTAAGAATTACCATGATTTTTAATAAATAATATTTTTTTTATTTTTCAATTAAAAAACCTAAAACAACATGAGTCCCTTCATAAGACCCGTTGTTTTAATATCAACTATAAATAACATACCGTAAAAAAAAACCCTTAAGAATAGACTTTAAAATCGCAGGAAAGGTGCATTTTAATTCCTTAGATTTAAAAATTTCCTGTTAGTTATTGATTTTATATAAAATTATTTATTTCGTTTTTTACTGTCAATTTACATTAAAAATAAAATAAATATAAATTTATAAAACTAGAAATTAATAAAAAAATTAAAATTTAAGGAACAAATACTCAACATACACGATCTCGATAGTACTGGATTTTTATGGTAATGTAGTTTGGCAACACTACATGTATCATACCATCCCTTCATAGTTGATGACCGTTAGTGGTCCCCATTAAATCTGCCTAACATGTCACATGTTCACAATGGACTCGCCATACTGAGTTCCAATAATGTCTGCACTGAACACTGAAGTATCATCACATGCACAACACAAGTACACGACCCTCGAGGATAACGTTGCCACAAGACAGAAATGTTATATATGTTGTTGCATCTAGGTTAAATTATTATTAGGTGTTTTTAAAATATGTTGAAAACATAATTTTAATGTAAAAAATTACATTATGCAGTTGTTAAATACATGAGCAAAGCACTATAATAAATCTTCAACTTCGTATAATTAGACAGAAATTGTTGTATATTCTCCACGTAAATGAACATGTTAATTAGATAATTTGGGAGAATTTTAAAATTTTTGCCAGTTCATCTCTAATGTAAATGATGAACCAAAGCAGCCTTTTCATTTTGTTTTTGGGTCGACCCACTTTAGCAAACATGGCAGGGTAAGTTTTTAGGTGCATATCAAATTGGAGGCAGCTTTGCACTGCTGTGATGTGCTTTTTCTGGATTTCCCTATGCCCTTTTATTTATTTTAATTTAGAAAATGGAAATAACTTAATATGCATATATAAATCACTCTAAATCTTCAACATTATTTGGCCAGAGCCTAGTAGCATATCTGAATCTGAAAGAAACTTGCTGGTCACGGCGTTAATAGCATATTTAAGTCCAAAAGGAACATGCATAGGCTTACCCAAATACACCTCCAAGAATAAATTTTAAATAAGTACCTTGACTTTGTTCAAAAACATTGTTAAGTAGATATAGCTCACATTAATTGATTGAATTCAAAACGAAAAGGAAAGATTTGCTCTTTTCAATCAACACCACACTAGTAGTTTAGCAAACTTCAACTTTAACCTCTCAAAATTTTCGAAACCGCCAACATTGGAGGATTGAATCAAAAGTGAACAATGTAACACAAACTGTTTTTCACAACAAAAATGAGGGAATAAGTAAATTACAAGTTGCTGCTTTTACTTACACATCCTAGTATATATTTCTAAATGTTTGCTGTACACAACATATCGCACTAAGAACTTTCCACATTATCTTGATATATGCATAAGTATGATTAAGACTTGAAATATACTTTATTCACAATAAAGAATGAAACCATTGAAATTCACATTGGTTGGTGTTGAAGATTCAGCTTTGATTTGGAGACTGTGTACTCATAAGCTCGATGCAACCTTTTTCTGAATCTTCTAAGGTCTAGATTGACATTTTGGCTGTCAAGATAGATCTTCTTTGTGTATTCCCACCCTTTCTTGTTAATGCTTGCAGGGTCTCTTAGAATAGGATCATTTTTATCATATTTCCCATATAAAGTGCTCTCTCTAGGATGAATGTCATAGCCAATGTACTTCAAGCCAAGCTTCCTCGCAGGTTCTCCATAATAAGTTTGTGCTGCCCATGTAGTACCGAGAGGAACCACTTGAATAAACACAGAACCAGGTCTCAAGAAAAGAAAATGTGTCATAGCTGCTCCATGAACCCCTATCATGACATCACTTGCATTAAGTGCCTTGTAAATTTTTGCCAATTCTGTGGTTCTGTCAGGTTTTAACACTTGCACCAAAAACCCAATGTCTTTTGCCATCTTCACCAGCAAATTCTCATTAGTAATAGCTCTTGACCCACTTCTAGAGAGAATAACCAACATTGGTTTCTTCCATGGATTCTCTTGCACATGTTGCTTAATAATATAACCTTCTTGTGAGGTTTCTGATGATGGAGATGAAGAGGCTTGTTCTCTCAGTTTCTCTTGTGCTTTCCTTTCCTCATCTTGAATCAGACCCTTAATCCTAGGCCTATAAGCTTGATCCAAGAGGTTTCTAAAATCAACAATACCCTTGTTACCCTTCATCAATGAAGAATCCACAGTGAGTTCATCATGGATTCTAAGACCAACAATGGCTTCTGGGAAGCAATGTGTTCTGTTGTCTTCTTTAAAATCAATTGCTGGAAAATCTGATAGATGAGAGAGGATGTCTGCATACTTCATCATCCACCACTTATGATATTCAAGAATTACAAATACAACCCTCTTGTTGAAATGCTGGGAAGTGATGTATAAGGGTATGATTCCATCATTGAATTCATGATAAACATTCCCAGTGTAGCCCCCATTAGAGAAGAACACTGCAGGAACATCATGTTGGACATCACAACCACCAACATCACCCAAATTCACTTTCTTTGAGATGAGATTTAATTCATCAATAGTGTCCATAACACTTGTCTCCCATTTTCGAGTATAAGGTTTGATCTTTTCATGTTTGGAAACATTATTAATGCTCCCTGAATTGTAAAGAAAGACTGAAGAGGAAGCTGAATGAGTTCTTATATCACCTTTCATCACACAAACATCAGAACGGTAACCACTTCTATCACAACATATAGTTCCTGCATTACCAACAAAGCAAAAAAGATTATTTGGAGAAAATAAGGAACCAAAAAAAAAAAACTTAATTTCTGAAAAAAAAAAAAAATCAACACACGAGAATTATTTTGGTAAAAGATAATTTTTTGTTAGCTATAAACTGAAGCAGTGAAAATCCATTGAATCTACCCCTTTTGAATCATTATGTTGATTAATCATGTAAAATAACACCACACATGCAGACCAAAGACAAGAACAACTAGCTAGAAGGTAAAAAAAGGAATAGGAATATAAATATTAGTTACCAGTAGAAACTGAAGAGCATGTAGAAGCATTTGCATCAACCCCATCTTGGTTCCCATCATTTTCAGTTCCGGGAGAGTCTGAAATGATAGAAATGAACATCAACACAAAGTGGAATATAGAAAAATAGAAGGGTAAGAAAAACAAGGACTTTAGTCGTTAGATGCTTACATAATAGAGATAAAGTGAAAGAAGGGGGAAAGAAAAAGGGTGCGAAAACATAGCAACAAGAGAGGAAGGTGATGAGGAAGAGAAAAGACAACAACTTGGGTCTAGTTCTCTTGTAGTAACTAGAGCTTGAGCAATCCAAGACAAGGTTTTGTGACTCTTCATCTTTGGTGGACTCTGTTGCAGCTTTTCTGGGTTGATGGGAGCGGTGATAGTGGACCATTTTCTCGTCCAAAAGTAACAATATTTGTCACGTTTCACGATGTCAGGTTCAAAGAGAGAGGAAGAAGAAAATGAAAAAAGTGCAAATGGGGGTGTGTTAAGATGTTGTTTGTGAAAGCAAAACTCTGTTTAGTGGCTCAAGAGATAAAGGGTTTTTCTTTGCTTGTTGGGTTGAGAGAGAAGCATGAAAAGGAGGTAGAAAAATGTGATGGTTTTAATTGGTTTATTTGATGGAGGGAGAGAGAGAGAGAACTAAAGGAAGGAATAAAGGAAGAGAAGGGAGGGAACAAAAGAAGGCGTCAAAAGGAGGCTTTCATTTGATTGTATTGAAGTTAAGGTGGCGAGGTATTTGATTTTGTTGGGAAACTTTGATTTGTTTTCTCTGTTTTGATGTGTGCCATCTGCCACAGTCAACAACACCAGCCGCGTGTGAATCAAATTTGACAGAGAATGTTACATTCTGGATTCTGGTTGGCTATAAGCTCTTACGCGCACTGAGTAAAAATTAATATATCTTCTTTTATTTTAGGAATCTTATATTTTCACATCCAATAAATATGTATGAATTTGGTATATATATGTATATAAAAATATGTGATACAAGCATATATTGTTGAACAAGTAATAAAAGGTAAAAAGAGCATTATTTCATGAGAATTTAAAGTCTTAAGTATTATTTCATTATTTTACTTTTATTTGAATGATTGTAAAATATAGAATTAAAAAAAATCTACTAAAATATTAAAAAAATAATAAATATTTAACAATCACAAGCACCTTGAGCTGTAATGATGGATGAGAGAAATGGAATATAAGTTCACATAAGACTTTCTTTGTAACATAGTGTTAGTTCACTGTCATGATATTTATGGTTGAGTTTCTTAATCAACGAGTGATTAATTACTTAGTTTGCTAGTCTACTTGAAATCTTAACAAAATGTCAATTTCTTGATGAAATGATGCGAAATCCACTAACTCAAATAAATCCACAAAACCTATCGCACTATTCTTAAGGCAATAGAATCAACGAATCTATGTTTAGATCAAATTCATACATCAATTTTTTTAAGCAATATACGAACCACAAATTCAATCAAAATGTGACCGATTCAAAAAAACATAAAGACAAGATATATAAAACTATAAATAATAAAAATAAAAAACTATATTATATTCATTCATACAAGTTTAGACCCAAACTACATCAACATCTTCCATCTCATTTTATGTAATACTTATACTAATATATTCATCTTTAAAAAAATGTAACTTTTACTAATTATTATAATAAAATAAAATTATTTTACTAAAATGTCCATTTTAAAAGTGGTGAAACTATTGGAGCAGTTGATAAGATTTATTACTAAAGTAATACTCCCTCCTCCATTTCATTTTTAATGCCGCATAGTATTAATACATATTTTAAATAATAATTAATTTTACTAATTGCATTAATTAAATACTGCTGAACATTGGATGATTTCGATTTCTAATGAATACAATTTTACTATAAATACTTTAAAAGATTATCAAAGAAAAAATGTATTTCTATGTATCTATTCAAATGATTGTTTAAAATAAAATTAAAGTAGTATTAGAATTTTATATTAGTTAATTGGAAAAAATTTATCTCTAATAAATAAATATATTAATAAAAAATAGTAAATTTTTTAATATTTTAAAGTGGCAAATATTCGAGATATATAAAAAAATTTACAAGTAACACTTAGAATTTGATAGTAGTTAATTGGAAAAAAATCATTTCTAATAAAAAAATATATTAATAAGAAATAATTAAATCTTTCTTAATATTTTAAAGTGACAAACACTTTAAAATAAATAAAAAAATATACAAGTAACATATAATACGAGGTGGAAAAAGTATTAACATTATTATAATGGTTAGTTAGTCAAAACTATCTCTAATAAATAAGAGTATTATTAAAATATGATTAATATTTTTATTTTTAAAGTCAAAAATAATTTAAGATTAAGGAATTAAATTTTTTTAAAAAATACTATTAAACTCATCGTAATTTTAATATATTTTTACTTTAGTTGTTAATAGAAATTTTTATTTTTTTCACTCTTTAATCAAGCTACTTGTTAACAAGATTTCCATAAAAAATATTTAAATGATACTTAATATAAAATAGAAAGTGCATAATTATGGTAAATTTCTGTGGGAGAACATTTCGAACTTTCCATAATGGGATCCCCAAATTCCTTTCTTCTTGAAAATGATTTCTCTGCGTGCGCGTCGCATAGATGTGTAGAACCAAAATAGACTCACGCGCCTTCGGGGCGTGAGAAGCAAATCAATATCCGCGTGATTTTTCATTTGTTTTTTCAAATTTAAGATAGGTGAAATTTATAATCAATATTTTCTTTTCTATCTTAATTATTTATCGTCAATCCAATCATTATTATCGATTGCTTTGCTTGCATAGCAAATTCAACCATATTCAAAGGTTTACATATTAAAGAATTGCATTGAATATCCATTAAAAATACAATAAAAAAGATAAATATATTTGGTATAACGAAAATAACACGCACACGTAAACAGCTAACAATGAAATTGAAAGAAGCATTAAATTGTGCTAAGAATAAAAAGAGTAAGAAAGACGATAAAATAATGGCAATAAGAAAGTTAGGGGCGGCACCAGAAAGAACAACGTTAGGCTGATAGCAACTGAGGGATTGTTTCCAAAGCCACCATCTTTGAAGGATAACACTCATTTTGGTCTAAACAATTCATTACAGATTCACTTCAATACGTGTATTTTTAGGATTAATATTAATTTTTATATTTGATATTTATTAAAAATTAATTTAATTAAAAGTAATAATAAGTATTAAAGAAATATATTTTTTATAAGAAGATCACGTGCTTTGTGGGCTCATAAATAGTTGGCGAGAAACTTGGAAAGTGATGTAAATGACGCGCAAATTGAGGTATGGAGGACTGCATTAGCATTTAGCGTTGAAATGCGGTGACTACGAGACAATTGTATCATCCTTTTCTTGCAAACTTTATCTTCTAATTAATTAACTAATAAATGAAAATTAATATTAATTAATAAATTTTAATCTTTTTTATTAACTGTATCTATTTTTTTAATATGTATTTTATTTTAATTTATAGAATAAACGGTGAAGTTAAGTAATTAAGTAAATGAATAAACTTCCATTCATAGATAATTTCCTGTTATTATAAAAGAAAAATGGAAAACAAATTGTGTCTGATGGGAACGATATTTTATTAGAGCGGATAAACTTTATTTTGACAATTACTACGCTTTTAAAAAGAATTATTCGTTTTTTAATTACTTAAGAAATATTATTGGCCCATATCAATGTTATGTTTAAAAGTAAAATTCTGAAAAAATATATATATGGAAGAAATATATTTATTTTGAAAATAATTTGTAAAAATTGTTTTATTTAATAAATTTTTATAAATGTTGAATTTTATTAATTTAATCATTAAACTAAAACTTCATATTAAATACATGAAAATAAAATTTGTAAATTTTATTCAATATAGACATTATTTAATATTTTACTAATAATTTTTTTAACATGTAATATATTATTCAAAATATATAATTATTATTAAGTTTAAATTATTTAAATTGAACATACATAATTACTAAGATAATATTAAATTATTTAATTGCTATATTCTTCGAATTTAAAATTTAAAATTCAACATTAGATTAAAAAAATATCAAGATCGAATAAATTCAAATTGATATTTTGCAGTTTAAATTGGTTTTTTTTTTTTTTTATTAATTTTTTATTTTTAAAAACATAGATTTATTTTCAGTTAAAAATAAATAAAATGTTACTAATTAGAATATAAATATAGTTTTAATTGGATAAATTATTTAAGGAATTAATTTTTTATTTGAAAAAACACTTATTAAATTAAAAATAGATGCATAGTAATTTTAAAAAAATCAATTAAAAGTATAGGATTTCATAATAATTCATAACTTAATTTAAATAATAAACTATAAGTCCTAATAATTTTAAAATAGAGATAAAAATGAAAGATAAAATATAAAAAATGTTACAATAAATTTTCTGTAAAACAATTTTTTAAAGTATTAGTTAGATGATCAATAGCTAAATATTTTACTTTCTTAAGCTGAGAATAGTTTGACCGATTATTCGCCACCGCTCACAGAGGCAAGATCAGGCGATGATGGCGGCGAGCGTTGGCCTGCTTCTCTTTCTTCCATTGTTTTGTCTTTTTGACCATTTTTGAAAGTTGATATACTAATGCCACATTTCTTTTGACCCCATATGCTCATGTTTCAATAAATTAATCCAAAAAATATAAGATATCAAGATCTATTCTTCAAAGTTTATCATTATATTAATTGAACTCTTTACAAATATGTGCAAGATGTCCCCACTATCCTAAACATTTAAAACTAATTTGTGATCACTCAATCAATTGTTGATCCTTAGCAAGGCTAGCCAAAATGTTGGTATAGCCTCTCAAACCAAAAAAATAAACAAGTATAAACTATAATTTTATGATATAAATCTTGTGCCATATTTAAAACTTAATGAAAAACAAATGAATTACTAGTTTTTTTAAAGAAACTAAACAAATATTTTATTTGAAATATGTCTATTTTGATCAAATAAGTTATAGGTCAATCAATCTAAAAGACATGAACTAAAAAAATAAGACCATGGAGTAAAATAAAATAATTCCACACACGATTTATATAAAAACAGTTTCAAAGAACATGCAAAATAATTTTAGGAGAATTTCATTGTATTTGGAGTAAAGGTTAGCATTAGACATATTTCTTTTAAACCTCTTATCATTTGTAAATGATTCACCATAAGCTACTTTTAAGAGAGAGTTTGATTTTAAATTGCACTTTCTATTTCTAAAACAGGTTGAAAATAGTTGTATTAAGAGAGAATTTAAAAAAATTATCAATTAAATCATACATAAGTTTAATAGAAAAAAACAGCATTGTTTGATAGATTCTAGAATGCAACATCTTGGACATGTGAAGTATATGAGGGCTTCATGCTAGCAATCAAATTACATATCTTTTTCAAGTTCAAGCAATCATAAGAAACAAACACAGCCACAAACATATATTTGTCAATATCAAGGATAGGTTAGAGAGAATAATTACAAAGAAAAATAACCTTTGAAACTCAATTATAAACCCGAAACCTCATAAATAGACTATCTCCAATAGATTAGTCCAGCTCTTGAGTTAAAATGGTCAAACTGAAACAAGACCTCTCCAAATAAGAGAAATGTGTAGGAAATTTCTAGTAATAGAGTTTTAACTCACTCTAAATTTATACTTAAATATGAGAACTTAAGCCTATATATTATTAGGAGAATTAATAAGCTCTAATCAAACTTTAACATAAATATCAAGTTTAACTTACAAAGGTATCTAAAACTTAATCTTCGTTTCTGACTTAAGTCTACAAATTATCTACCTTCTAATCATATGTTTTTTAGTTTCAAGAGACTTCCAAATAAAGTGCTAACATATAATATTTATTTCATTGTGAACATTAATATTAATTAACTGAGTTTGCATTATATAATTAAGAATACTTATAAAATAAGACTAAAGGTAACTCTATCAACTAAAGAAAGAGAATTCATTTTTCAAAAAAACAACTTTCTTTTCTAATCTTACCAATAATGAAGGAAAAATTTCCTAGAAAAATTCAGATGCTGAATAAAAATATCATACCAAAAGATTAGACAAGCTTAATCCCCAATGACTCATTACCAAAACTCTTGAAAGCATTATTAGTATTCCTAGAAAAAAACAATAAAGAAGACTTGTCTTTGTATTTGTCCCAAAGCAACACAAAGTTAATGGAATACTTTTTTAACAACATCAACTTTGTATAAACTAGCTTGGGTCACTAAAATAATGTTATCAACTAAGAATAAATGGAAATTTTAGGTCCAAGGGAACAAAAAAAAAAGTATTCAGTTACTAATCGAAACCCGGTCTCTATAAGTGGGTTAACCTTTCTATACACATGATAAAAAGAAGGCCTAAAAGGTTTAGTGAACTTGTTCTGAGTAAATGAAAAAAAAAATACATTTATAAATAATATTAACAAAATCATATTTGAGACTATTTTTAAAGAGTATCAATAATAAATTTTATCTTAAATTATCGTAAGTTTATTAAAATTTAGTTTCATTTTTGTATAACAATATTTTTTTATTAAACGAATTAACTAATTCTTAAAAAATAATAGTACTAATGAAACTTGCTATAGATAAAACTACATTAGTTTTTTTAAATAAAAAATAATTAGTTTTTATTTTTATCAGTCAAAATTTTTGTAACCACTTTATAACTAACATTATACAAACAATAAGTGAAATTATTAACAGTTTTAGAATTTTCTAATTTAAAAATAAGAATAATTCCTATTTCATTACCTATGATACTTCTTTAATAATAATTAAATATTTTCATAAAATTAAACAAAAAGGAGAATAAAAGTTTCCAATGAAATTTAAAAAAAGCGTGCATAAAAAGACTTTGACAGCCTCTAAAGTAGTACGCCTATCTTATTTAAATAAAAAATAATTTTTAATATTTTAATTATAAAAAATAAGCTTATTTTAAATATATTTATAATTAATTTTTAAAATTTTCATTTAATGTAAGCGATGTATGAACCAGATAGTTTACTTATTATTCATATAAGTGAAAATACTCAATCATTCAATATAATAAATAACATATGTATCTTCAATATATATTTTGTGTATATTTATAAAAACTTTTATGTATAAAAACTTCAATAATTATATATCCTTTTGAGTTTGTCTCAAAATATTTGTCCATTTAGACATAGCAATTTTTTTTTATAATACCCTCGTTATTGGTATTTCACCTAAATACTCTTAAATGCATTTAACTGTAAATTTTAACTCTTTTAATAAGTGTATTCTTGTAAAAAAAATTCATTTTATCGTAGTAATTTGTATAATTAGTATTTTTTTTTTCAAAACATACATTACCTTAAAAGATAAATAATATAAAAATAAAGGTAGTAAAAAAATTTATAAAAAAAAAAAAGATTTAGCAAAATTCTGGAGCTAACAATGAAGGTGTTTAAAACTTTATTTCATTTTCTAAAATCTTAAAATAAATATTGAAGTATCTAAAATTAGTTCTCAATGACACTTAAAATTACGATGAAAAGAAAGCAAATATCTTATAATATTTCCAATTCATTCATTTATAATGAAATGGATTTAAGTATTCGCAGAGAGGCAAAGACATATCTTTCTCCATTTCTTGTATTTTAACTCTTTAATTAAACCACTATAATGGCCTTTTGATCCAATACACATTTATCTTGTTTATTCTCCATTATGGAAATTTTCTTTTCACGCCCCTTATTTTTTTCTATTTACGTTCCCTTAGGCATTTTATTTTTTTATTTTAAACATTAAATTCTAACAAATTTGAATACATTCTAAAAAGTTTAATTCTAAAGAGATAGTTTATAAATCCCTTATAGAAATTATTTTCGTAATCGTACGAGTTTATAAAAATCTAATGCTTTATTTTTATATTATTAACTTTTTAAAATATATTTGTAATATTACTAAATAATTGCTTTGTTTTTATTTTACTTTATTTTACCATAAATTATTATATCTTCCTTATAAAACATATATTGAGATATTTATTTAGTATTTTAAATCATGCCGAGGACTGTATTTATTTAGTATGTATTTAATATTGATCCATGTACCAAAGCAAAAGTCCGCAACCGCTTTGACCCAAAAAAAAAAAAATGGTCCACAACTCCCTTCCTTCATTGAGTTAGAACTCTCTCTCTCTTTTTAGTGTTATTCCTTAATTAAAATTAAATCTTTATGTCAACAGTTGACACAATAAAAGTTAACAATTAAGGTTATTAATTATTATCAAAATAAAACTTTAATACTGATTAAATAATACCATTAAAAATCACCTAAAACAACTATACTTAAAATATATCCTAATTACAACTAAGAACCTATCAACCATATCCCCTTTTCATTAGAAGACGATAAGCCTTCCTTTACTTAGAAGTTGAGTAATTTGACAACTCACCTATTGCTTCAATGTTAAAAAAAACAAATTATAGGCTTAAAAAAGATTTGAACTTTCTAAAAATTCACAAATTTTCTATTTAGTCTCTTTTAATTTCTTTAAATTTAATCTCTCAAACATTATTTTTATTTTTTATTTAATTCTTCTAAATAATTTGTCAACTTGTTTACTTATTTTTTTACATAATGCTTGAATTATCTCATATTATTTGACTAAAACTTAATATGAATATGATTGTCATTTATGTCACATCTTTCATATTTTCAAATGATATTTAAAATTATAAAATTATGATTTAAAAATATGAAGAAAAACAAAGTGTAAATATCATGTTACCATCTACATTAATTTTAAGTTATATTATATAAGTAAAGTAAAATGTTGACTGAAAAAATAAAATTATTAAGAGAAAGATCGTAGGAAAAATAGTAATAATTTTTGGAAGGCTAATTAGGAAAAAATTAAAAAAAAAATGAGGAATCAAATAATAGAATCGTGAATTTTTAAGAAGACCAAAATTGTATTTACAACGGCTGATTAGCCATCCTACAACCTGTATTTTAAAGGATAATTGGCATATAATGTATGTTCTTTATATCAGCAAAATCATCAAACTTTATTTATAACAGTTTATTGGTATAATAGAGAAGAAATTCATTTTTATCAACGATGAATTGACATGCGATCAACCTTTGAAGGTTAGGAATGTGAATAAAAGTGGCCATACAAATAATTACTTTTGCATCTATAAAGTTATCAAGGAAACACACAACATATTCCAGAGTCCAAAAGACAAAAATGCGTTTAGAAAATCCTCAACTAAACCATATATCTCTTTCTAACTTATGTGGACAAGCAGTTGTTAGCTGTGTAGCACAAGAAGCATAGCTCAAAAATAAAAATGCATCACCATTTCATTCACTGTGAATTTTGATGACATTAACAGATTTATATTTACATACTCAAGTCTGTAGCAGGCAAAATAGTTCACAATCCCAAACAAGCACTAAACTCTGAAAAATAAGAGTATATCTATGAAAAAGTAGCTCACAATCACATGCAAAAGTGGGTCACTGATAAGTGTCAGGTGGAAATCCTAGGTTGCTTGCATCCGTGCTCTGGTAAAAGGTTATCAGATGCAGCTCTTTTTGGTTTCAACTGCAATGAAAATGGACATGTGCAGCTATTAGATCCCTGTGTGGTAATTGTGCACAAGCATGTGCAGACCTAACTGTACCAAAACATAGGAGTTTCAATCTTTCAAGAGTCACTAACCTTCTCCTCAGCATGCTGATAAATATGTCTCAGGAGGATATTTTTGGCTTCAGTGCTTATCACTGTGAGAACAATTTTCCACTGGTTAGCAAACCATCATTACAAAACACCAGTGAGTCTACCCTAAGTCCCTAATAAAAGAACACAAGAGTGAGCCTGACAACAAATGATGTACATCTATGTAACAAAAACAAGAATAAGAAAGTAACTGCAATAAATGTTTCATGTTTCCTCAATTTTTGTCACAAACAAAATAAATATCTTAAGTACTATGTTCAATGCATCCAGTTTGGACCCTCCTCCAAAAATATGATTAAGGAAATAATCCAAAGATACTTTTTCAAACAGATTATCGATCAAATAAAAATGTTGCAAAGTATTACTACAGAAGTAGAAGAAAGTTCTCCAGAGTCCAGACTACCTTGATCAGGTGGTGGAAGGGTCCTGCTATGAGTAGGATGGTAAGTGGCTGGTGTCATTTTCTGCATGAAAATAGAAATCTCTTCAGAAAGCAAATGAAAATATACCATCAGGTGATCCATAATACACTTTAGAACAAAAAGAGTAGCACTGCATAAAAAAAAAGTTGGCCCTAAAAATGCTCGACCACATACTTGGTTTACCCATGGCTTGGCCACGAAAAAGGTAAGGAATAAAAGTGGAACATTTAGTATGTTTATCTTCAGATCACATCTGTCATACTCATATTTAATGTAATTTGATTAGAGGAGCATCTTCCTCATTGATAACATTATACAAGAATTATGTAGAACCGTTTAAGCATACTTATAATGCAATTATGTATTTGCTAGTAATTTCCTGGTTTAGCAATTAGATAGTCTATAGAAAAGATAAGAACTATTCATCAAAAGGTACAGTGAAAAAGTGAAAATAACTAAATTTGTGTCAGGGTATCATGGAAATTGATATGGCTGAAAGCTAGAAACGTATAATTTATAATATAAAGGAAATACTATGCATAACTCCAGTTTTTTGCAACTAATCAGATATAAAAGCAAAACTCTTCTGTAACTGAAGAATTAATGATCACTACAATATTGAACAAGAAAGCTAAGTTTTACGGTATTATTTTTAGAGTAAAGAATGAAAAGAAACAAAAGGAAAAAGAAATCATCCCATGCTTGAAAAGTTTCAAATTTCAAATCCCTTATGGTTTTACTTTGACAGAATAGCAAAAATATAAAGAGGAGAAAGCAAAAGACCAACAGTCATTGAGATTAAATGGATATGTTCCCTCAACCAATGCTCTGCACATAACATCGATGGTTAAGACTTCAACCTCAGGCAGTTAGTCTACCACGAATTCCAATTATCCAAGTTAAAATAACAATCAAAATGTCACGAAACAATCCACCATGTCATAAAAAGAAACAAACTTAAAATAAAATGAATGCAAATAAGGTTTTTCTAATCCACAACTGCTCCACACCAACTTAAAAACATTTAAGAAATATTCTTAAACTTGTATAATGGGATTCCAATACGCAAGTGCTTTCAAGTAGAACAAGAATAAGGTCTTATCTTGATGGTTGACAACCAAATTTTGTCCTAAAGGGAGAAGAGGGCTGTGGAAAAAAGGTAATTCTCTTTTCACTAAACATTCAATCGAATAAGTGTAAATACATGGTACTGAAGCAAAAACTCAGGATCACACACAATCATATTTTTCAATAATTGACAAAACATAAAAGCATAAATCTAAACGCTCAAATGAGTTATCAAATCATCAAAAGTTACATTTACTTGGGGAGAAAATAAAAACAAAAACAACTTACAGAAGAACTAGAAGGATCCGAAGGTCGGAGCTGACTGAAGTTGTGAGGGTCGTAGGATGGCCAATTACCAAGTACTGATTCCATAGAATGCTATCTATTGCTCCAAATTTCAGAGACAAATTAAGGCGTGAAGAAAAGAGGAAAAGGACGAACAAGGCGATAACACACAAAACCCCACTCTCGAAACACCTGTTGTGGACTCAACTTCACATGTGTGCACTCATTACACTCGACACCACACCACTTTTCCTTGCCCTAACTACAAACTTCAAACCCAATTCTCCATTCCCACTTGCAGAAAGATTATATTTTTGGCACAATGATCTGCAATTTATGAAAAAGGGTACGTGAATTTCATTTAAAGAATGGAGAAAATTTCCTATATAAACAATGTATGAAAAGCCATAAATTTCTCAACAATAAAATTATCAATAAAGATTATTTGGTTCTAATATGGCACCACGAAATAATCAAAATGAAAAAAAAAAAAAAGATAAAAATTGAAAACCCATTATTGGTTGAATGAAGTAAAATAAAAAATCAAATTGTTTGGGCCGAACAACCTTGTAGAGTGGTTTCGAAAACACTAGTAGAACAGCATGTTAAAACTTCAGAAATAATCGAAGTCCAAACACAGTACACAAATGTAGTACAAGTACAACAGTTGGTGCAAAACTTGAAAAAAGTGGTAACAGTATACATTACCGTGTCAAATCCTCAGCATCGAAGATTTCAGATCTCTCAGGAACGTCCTCAAGTTAAAGGGTGGAACCTAAAAAGCAGCCAGCCATTACCAAATCACTAATCACTGTCATTGAGTCTAATCGAAGACTTGACCATGCCACCTATGGACTAAAATATCCAATGCAGCACCGATAATGCCAAGATTGTCCTAAAGTATATACCACTACAATTCCTCTCTGATTTTTTTTTTAATAAAAAGGAATGTATAAAAATTAATATAATACTACTTATTAATATAAATATTAGTAAATATTTCCTGCAAAGTACGAGTATGTTTGTAAAAATATAATATAAATTAAAATATTAGATACAATTAATTTAATTATAAATATTTATTTTATTGATGATAATGTGAAAATTTAAATATTTAAAACAATAAAAATTATAAAAAGTTAATAAAAATCATTTTAATGATAATTTATAAAAATTTCATTATATATATCTATTATTGATTAAAAAATTTGAATTATTTCTTAATGAAATTATAAAAAAAATTAATATTAATTTAATTTAATGTGAAAATTGATGACGCATAACATAATATAAGAAAAACACACATCTTGACAAGAAAACAAAAACTATCTTTGACTTCATAAGATTTAAAAGTAAAATCCCAAATTCAACAAAGATGTGTGAATTTATACATTTATCAAGTCAACTTTATTATTTAAATATAAAAAAATGACATCATATGTAATATTTTGTATAATTGTTTTATATTTTTTAATATACATGTAGAAAATTTTATCACAAAAGCAGAAAACTATTTTTATTATCCTAATTTTATGTTCAAGAAATGTTATTTTCGTCAAATCACATCTTTACAAATTTGATTATTATAGTTGGTGTAACTTGCTTTCTCTGTATTATATCGATAATTTGATTGATTTGATCTTCCATATATTTCATATGCAAATTATGTGAGGTAAAAAATGTGCAATCATTCTCAATATTTCATCTTGAGAGTGAAGTTGTTTTTAAAAATAGAAGATAAATTAAGTAACAAGATGAATGTTAAATGATAGGGTATCAAGTTTTTCTTACTCGAGAAGTGCGAGTTTCTCTTCCAAATGCACTTCTCTGTTTCATCAACGTAACTCTCAGCCGATCGACATCTGCCATTTATAATTTCTTCCACTACCAAAGAATTTATCCTTTTTCACGTATTTGCATTTTTTAAATTGAAGCTTACTTATATAAGTTTTTTGTTAATTTTACTTTTTCAGATGGAACTGAAGTGTTTAAAAATAATAATTTTTGTTAACAAAATTATTTATTATTCTTTTATATTATTAAAATAAAAATAATTTTAATAAAAGATCATTACTTTTAAATATTTAAACAACTTAATTATATTTTATTATATATACATATTAAATTTAAGTTTTCTAATTTAACATTGCTAATCATTTATAAAGTAAAATACTATAAAATTCATTCATAAAAAACTAAAGTTTAAGGTAGTTTCACTTTATTGATAACTTTTTCTTTGTAGTTATAAGTAGTTTTTTTTTTCTCAAATATAACTAAGTGTACTAGGTTGTTGTTTCCACTAACGGTTATATAGTTTTATCATAGTTTCTCCAAAAAATATTTATATAACAAAAATCTGTTTTTACACAAATTAAATTTATTTTTAATAATAAAGATTTCAATGTATACGTCTCAGGATTAATTATCATCAAATAAAATTAAAACAATCACTTTTTTTACACTTTTGTACATAAATTCATGCAATTAAACAAATTATACATTTTAATAAACTTTCACATGATCAATAAATAAATTTATGACTTATTTTTTTCAAGTTAATAATTTTATGATAATAATAACAATAAATATTTAAAATAATAATTAAAAATAAGTGATTATGATTATTATCCTTCATAAACAATAAAGATTAATTAACTTACTTAATATGACTACTCTAAAATTGAGAGAAAAGTGCAAGTCTACAGTCTAGAATAATAATAACATTAAATTAGAATTCAAAATTAACTTCAATAATAAGATTTTTAAATCTATATTCAGAACTAAAAATATATTTTCTCTAAGCATAAGAATTTACTAAAATTCAATATTTTTATGTATTTGAGTTTTCGATATATAATAGAAATTTAAATTAAAAAAATTTCTTAAATTGGTAACACCTCTTTTTCCTCGTAATATTATCTCTAACTTCAAAAATTCACTCAAAGTTATTTATGTGAAAAGGAAAAATAAATAGGTTACAAGGATATTTTTAGAATCTCAAAAGAATAAGTTAAAGCAAAAGAATGAATACTCATAAATAAATAAATGAGAAGACTTGCCAAGAACTAAATCAAGTTAGATTAATGAAAGGATATATTGGTAATTTCATGTTTCTATTCGTTGTTCGTGTTTTGTACCTCTTCTTCTTATTGGTCATGTTATTATTTTAATTTTTCGCATCGCAACATAACTATGGAACTGGGTCGCATTATGTCCCATTTGGTTTCCCAGCAAATGTGGAACTGTATCAGAATTATCTCTTGAGGCTTACATTTAACAGTGATATATTTTATTTTAATTACACTTTTATCTTTCATCTGTGAAAGACATATAATATTTGATGGTGTTTGTGGTGAAATGCAGACACATTTTCTGCTATATCAACCTTTAAGATACAGATTGTAGATGGAATGATGGAAGTGATAAAATAATTCAATTTGAAATTATAGGCAATATTACAGTAAATTAAACATGACCATCAGTTTGTGCCATAACCCAGATATAGAAGAACCTATGTTTATTAGTGTGATAAGAAGAATTTGTTTACCATTTTTGTTGTGAAAATAAAAATGAAGATTATATACGTGAAACAAATAGAAGCGGGAGCTTAATGGGGCTTTACATTTGCATCAGTTGTGTTATAAAACCAATATCATTAGGTGACGATCATAATGTTTGCACATGGATTCAATTTGCATCGGTTTTGTGGCAAGTCCGATATCATCAGGCAACCACTTTATAGATTATATTCATGGACTGTATTTGCATCGGTTGTGTTGGGTTGATGTGGCCACTTTTTACATCTGTTATATGAGAGAACCCATGTAGATATACTTTGTGAAGGCTCAATTTGCATCGGTTTTGTGGCAAGTCCGATGTCATCAGGCAACCACTTTATAGATTATGTTCATGGACTGTATTTACACCGGTTATGTTGGATTGATGTGGCCACTTTTTACATATATTATATGAGAAAACCCATATAGATATACTTTGTGAAGTATTATTGCATTGGTCATCCAATTCAACCGATGTAGAAGTGACAACCCATTTTAAAATTTGAAATAATGGCGTCAACCTGCAATGTCGACGGTAGTTGTGTATTATACGTCTGTTTAGTCCACGAATGTCATTATCTGAGTATCATATATATTATATTTAATTATTTTGTATGATAGAACCGATTTGATATATGTATTAATGTTGTATTCAATTAAAATCATCTCAGGTATAATTTATTATCCTCAATTTGTATTTGATATAACGAAAATAAAATTATAGTCTATTATAGTATTATTGATTTAAAAATTTCAATTTGATATAATTAATATAAAAATATATCTTTATATATTTGATTTAAAATATATAAATTATGTGCATATTTTACATTCATATTGTATTAAAATAAAATTAAAATATTTTTACTTTGCATTTATAATTTAGTAGACAAAGTAATTATAGTTATTAAATATTAGACAATGTTTTATGTTAACTTAGTTGTAAATTTAGTGTTAAGTAAAATAAATTTAATTTAAATCTAAAATTAAAATAGTAGAAAAAATAATTTACTTTTGATACATTCATAAAATAAATTTATAATGTGAAGTTAATTTATTTGATTGCATCACTATTGTAATAAATTAGTGTATTTTCATAAACATTATAGTATTATTAATTAATTAGTTGATACTTTATAGAAGCCTTTAAGAAATTTGTTTTTTAATTTAGTATTAGTAAACAAAATGTATGATAAAAGTTTAATATAAAGTGTATAAAAAAAATAACAATATTTTTTAGCATGATAAAAAAATAATGTTAAAGTATTTGAAATTTTTAAAAGCAGAAATAAACAAAACTTAATATTTGATGGTGTATAGCGGTTTGTGGTGCAATGCAGACACATCTTGTGTTGTATCAACCTTTTTGTTGCAAATTGCATACATGAAATGATGGAACATATTTATTAATTCAATAACGTAATATTTGTACTTGTAGGCAATATTAGAGTAAGTTAACTTCTACATCGGTTTGTACCATAACCTAGTTATAAAATAACCAATGTCTAAATATCTTCTTTAACAAGGAAATGTTGAGCATTTGTGTTGTGAAAATGAACAATATACAATATATACATGAAACCTTGACGTGAAATGTCATGTTGTTATGAACGAAAGCATGGGCTTAATGGGCATTTGGGCCTTTAAGCGTCAATATATACCGATAATATAAAAAATAAATTTTGAAAGGTGAAGAACAATGGGCCTGAGCAAGGAGCAGAAACATCTTCTATTGCGTTACAATCATGTTTTTTAGACAGTAAAAGGAAGTTATGAACAAAGTGACGTGTCATGTGGGTCACCAAGTCGATTTTTAGTGATGAAAGGAGTAGTTTGTTCGGGTCCTACACACGCCTGATAGACTCTATAACAGTGTCAGTCCATATTAGGATTTAAAAGAAGGTATCTCTCCGAATATCCACATGTCAAATAATATTGAATGCATTAAAATTTACAAGTACAAGAACTCATATTCGTAAGTAAATCTCTTCACCTCTTCTCTTCATGGGCAGTACAAAGTTGACGATTGTTGTAATTTAGTATCAGATTGGAGGTACTCATCGTTTGATTATAAACAACCATGAAATTTTATTCTTACATCCAGCAAGGTAATAATCTTGACAGCGATGAATTCTGATGTCAACTGAAGTGTGATCGGGTACGTAATCTTGTCATCAATTTATTGGATATTGAACATATTGTATTTTTCTAATTATTGGTCAATGAAATTGTCATTATTTGTTTATTATGTTTTTCAATTTGTAAAAGAATAATATATATATATATATATATATATATATATATATATATATGATCTGTTGTTTTGTATTGATGCAGAATGATATAACTATCAATGGTGGCTTTTATAGAAAATGGCGTTTTAATATTATGGAAAAACATTTTCACCTAAAAGATCCTTTGGGTAATGTTATTAATGTGACAATATATGAAAATGGAATAACATCTCCAAGATGTCATAATCAATTTGACTCATACTATCACACTAGAATATATGCAACAACTTCCCATTACAATCAACCTTGTGACCCCAATACAGTTTGGGATCTTTTAAGCGCAACCTTATTAAGAATTTTTCTACCTCCTTAACATCCCCATCATGTCCTCTTCTATCTCTCTCAATTTGATTATACATATCTTTTTTGCAAAATCCAACCATGTCATAACTTCCTCTTTGGCTAACAAAAGAGTCATATATTTTGCAGGTTAGAATACCACTTTTCCTCATTCGACGCATCTGTTCAACATCACCATCATCCATTTTGCGATGTGACCTTAACATTCCAAAATAATTCTCATCAACTAAATTATGATTATGATCATCAAAGAATCGACAAACTACCCAACACCCTCTATATACATCGAAACGTATCTTCATCTCTGCCTCACAGTCAAACCTAGTAATTGCTCTGTGCTCCCGAAGTCGATTAGGGTTACATCTGTAAATTTCTCGTCGAAAACCTTGGCTTGAACAAACAAATTGCTGCCACACAACATCTCCATTCTTATTTTACCCCGTTTATTTTTCCTCACACTAAACCCATTAATTTTGCCATATTCATTATAAAATTTATAACCTTCCTCAACACTCAAAAATTTCATTCTCTTAATCTCAGTACTACATAAATCACTCAAATTGACGTATTCATCCTTCTGCATATCAACTTCATTTGAACTTCTCATTTCCTCATCCACATTGCATTCCTCAACAACAACCTGTAACATATATAAATAATACACAGGTTACTTCGATTATAACAACTATGGTTATTCACTCAAATACACATAGTCTACACAAACCTTGTCGTTTCCTTCATCATTTCGAGAAAAATCCATGTTAAACTAATTTATATAATGGGTATTTTTTGCCTTCTACACTCCTTCTGTCGTCCTATTCTCCTTTATCTTTGCACTGCAAATTCGTTTTGCCCTTCTTCTCTAACTAAGTATTCCACCTCTTCATACGAAAAACGCTACCACTCTACCACCCCTCAGTCCCCTCTCACCAAGGCTTTGTTTAGGCTAATACAATTTCTTCCTATGATTCAACACTGGAATTCACCATTTTGCCCAATAGCTTTACCAAGGCTTTCGCTTTTTTGTTGGTCACTAACGTAAAAACTTATAAATATGGATAGTACAATTGCCACACATTTGCATCGATTGCGTGATAAAACCAATGTCATTACGTGACCACCTATTACATTTGCACATGGACCTGATTTTGAATCGGTTGTCTGGCATAACAGATGTCATTAGCCAACTACCTTTTACGTTGTCTACATTTGCATCGGTTGTGTAGTCAAAATGACGTCATTATGCGGCCACATTTTACATATTGCGCATGCCCTTATTTTGTATCGGTTGTGTAGTCAAACTGATGTCATTTCACAAGCACCTTTTACATATTGCGCATGCACTCTATTTGCATCGGTTCTATGTTAAAACGGATGTCATTTCACCACAACCTTTTTCACATTGCGCATCTACTGTATTTAGATTAATTGTATTATAAGGTAATGTCTCTCTTTTACAATTACTTCGTTACTGTCTCGTGTTAACCATATCTACATTGGGTGTATGGAGCGTATGATGTTAATAAAATTTCATGCACAACTTGTCACATTTACATTATTAACCCTCTTCATCCTACTCACTATTTATTCATATCCATATTTGTTTACCTTTTCAATATTTAATCTTAGCCATCCAATTTTAAATTACAACGATCAACAGCTCACTTTCAATTATTAATCACTTATACAAAAGCAATGCTTTCAGAAAAAATATACTTTTTACAAAAAAAGTGAGAATATTAGAATCACCCAAATAATCTTATTATTTTTCAAAACACAAGAAATCAATCATTTTGGCCAAGATATGATAAAACAAATTTTCAAATGTTTGGACTAGAGTTTGCCCAATAGCTCAACAAGCATCATAGTAACCCAAGAGACACATGAGAAGTATGAAAAGTGACACTCAGAACAAGCATAAGACAAAATAAACGAAGATCGAACCAGTGAAGATACAAACAATTATTCATAGGTATTGTGTTAACTTCGCATATTCTCCACAAAGATGGAGGGTCATTTCAACTATTACCTATAAAAGAGGTGCTCTTGAACTCAGGCTAGAGCGAAGCAAGGGTGCCCCACCTTTTGTAGAAGAATGATGTCTTTTTCAAAAAGATTACACCAAAATGGATTATTTATATAACAAAGAAGTGTGCACACTTTTTTGAAACATGTAAATGATTAAAATAATATTCACTGTGGCTTATCACTTCCAATCTATTGAAGTCCCACTTTACTTGACTAATACAATGAATTTGTAATTAGATGTATCTAGGTTATTTTAGCTTTAAATACATGGCCTAAGCATATAAACAATCAATTGATTCAAACAAACATTTTCCATTTAATTACGTTGCATTGTTTTAAATCTCTTTCTTTTCCTTTGTCTACACTTTGTAATTTACAATTTTCTGAATGGGTGAAGCTATTAAATAAAGGGGTCATAAATACTTGTTTCTCGTAGTTAGTTTATAGACAACAAAACATGAATTTTTTTTTTTTTCCAAATACAATATCTAGGGATTATGAATCGAGAAAGTTAAACCAACAAAATGACAATTAAAAATGTGCAAAAACTTGGATTCAGATCCTCCCTTATTACGGCAGAGATTGGATTATCCAGTCTATTTTTGCTTAAACGAATTTAAAAGCAAATATTAAGAAAAATGACAAAAAAATCATGTAAGCTTAAGCAATTAGAGAAATAAGAGATGCATGCAGCATAACTGATACCCATTGCCCAGGACCAAAAGTTATAAAATTGATGAGAAGATGAGACAATGTTGCTTCATGGGTGATGAACTTGTAACTAAAACCGAGACGACAACAAATAGAAAACACTTATCTCCTCCTGCTCCTATTCTCTATTCTTGTTGGATTCTCTACTCTTTTATGACTCATACATGATTTTGTTGAGTCCATGTTGTTCAAGTTCAATTTCATCATATCCTTTACCTCTTCATCCCCACTCCAAGTTATCCTTTGTTTTGTACCGGAAAAAGGTGCACTGTATGAAGAGCTAATTCTTTATGACCTGACATGGTCTTGGCAAAAAGACATTGTCAAGAAAAAGAAGTCACAAATTGAAATCCTTTTGTTTATTTATTAGGAACAGCAAGTATCCTGATCAACCTCAACTTAGACAAAAAAACCTTTCCTTTTTATGTTTATCTAGAACAATCCATTCAAGTTAAGGTCTTGGCAAAGATTATTACAAGCTTCCTTTTTTTTGGCAAATAATCGGCTGTCATAAATTTAAGCAAATTTTACGTGATTTCTTATCTTAATATTCATTTAAACAAATTTAAATTCGTTACTGAACAGTCTAGTTCAAACCATAATAAAAAATATCTTGTCCTAAAATTTAAGAAATTTTGTCTAGCAGTTTTATTTAATGTAAATGGTCATATATTATTTTTAAGTCGGTAATATAATTTTTTTAATCCTTCCTATTATCATTTAATGCATTAAAGTAAAAATAATTAATATTTTTAATTACTTAAAAATATTTTATAGAGTATATTAAATATTTCTTAAAGCTAACTAGAAACTTATTATTGCATATATTTTTTATACAATTTTTAATATAAACATTACTAAATTTATGTAAGATTATCAGATATGACAGTAGATATTTCTCCACATTTTACAAAATTTACACAAAACATATTATTAACAACAATTATGTTAACTTGTTATGAAAGATCACTGGCATGCAAATCACAGCGTAAGGAAACAGAGAATGTGCAATGAGGAAGCCAAAACCAATTGAGAAGGAAAAATCTGAAAAATAAATAAGAAACGTCGGAACAGTACGAAACGGTCCAACGCAACACGAATACCACGTGACTTTCTAAACCACAGACACAACAACTCAACCCACTTATTTAATTAAAATATTGTTAATATATTTAAATATTAGTTTTTAATAATTATTTCAGCATATCCATAATATTTTAATATTCTTTGATATTTCAACACATCACGTCCTATGTTACAATGTATAAGCTCCCAACAAACACGGGCTTGGTTGAATTTGAACACAGAATTCAATTCAACTCTTTCCCGCAAAGAAACTCGCGCAAAATCTTAACACTCTAATCAATTCTAAACATTAAATTAAACTACAAATCAAGTTCAATTCAATTTCACTTCTCTTTTTCCAAAAACCCTAGAGAGAGAGAGAGAGAGAGAGAGGAACCATGTCTGATGCGTTCTGCACCGATTGCAAGCGCCAAACGGAGGTGGTGTTCGACCACTCGGCGGGGGACACGGTGTGTTCCGAGTGCGGCCTCGTACTCGAATCTCACTCCATCGACGAAACCTCGGAGTGGAGAACCTTTGCCAACGAGTCCGGCGACAACGACCCTGTCCGTGTCGGCGGTCCCACCAACCCGCTCCTCACTGACGGCGGTCTCTCTACCGTCATCGCCAAGCCTAACGGCGCCTCCGGCGAGTTCCTCTCCTCCTCCCTCGGCCGCTGGCAGAACCGTGGCTCCAACCCTGATCGCAGCTTGATCCTCGCCTTCAAAACCATTGCCACCATGTCCGATAGGTAAGCTAGGGTTTCCAATGAAAATTCCTTTTTCGGTTGTTACATTACTTTCGGTTTCACTGTTATTTTTAAGCATTGTGAAGTGGAAGTTATTGTATTTAAAGTGTTATACTGTTGTCATTTTCGTTTTTTGTTTTTTGGGTTTTAAAATGAGATTAGTTGTTATCTTTCGGTTGAACTAGATAATTGAGAAATTAGCTGACGTGGTTGATGAATTTCAGGTTGGGACTCGTTGCAACCATCAAGGTATTGCATATTTTCATCTATGGTGCCCTTTCAACGGGACACGTTTCATGAACGTGCATTTATGTGTGTGCACTGCATATGTAGCATTTGTTATATGAGAAAGCTAGGATTATTTCAACAGTCTCTGTTATTGTCTGAAATTTATTGAGAATCCGAAAATTAAGTGAGTCTAACTCCTAATTTAACGAGTTTCATTCATAATTTTGTAGTTCCCAATAAATTTCAACCAATAGTAAAATACTAGAGAGTGTGTTAGGAAGAATTCTTAAAGAGTTTGTTGTCAGCGGTTTTCTTTGTTATTAGATGGTATTGGGCTACAGTGGTTTGGTAAGAAACTGTAATGACACTTACTTGTTGATTTGTATCATTTGGTCTTTGAAATTATATGAGAAATTCACGTGCATGGTGCTGAAGTGCTAGGCGGTACACATTAAAGGTTTCTTTTGGAAATTTGTATGAAAGGTTTAAAGTTTGTCCATGAAGTTGACAATGCTAGAAGTTGGTGAAACTTGTTTTGGCATGCCGTTTAAAACATGGAAGTTCATTAAGGAAGTAATGATGAGTAATGATTGGAGGCTAACTGACAGAGAAAGGATCCAACAATGTTTTTTAATGCCCTTCTGTTATGTCAAACTTGCTAGAGCAATGTTTATATAGTTTGCATTGCATGTGCCAATTGCACCCCCAAAGCAGTTATTCTATTTTGTCTTGTATTCAGCTTTGAATTTATTGTAAAGTTATTACTTTTGCAATTGATTTGAAGGATCGGGCTAATGAGATATATAAACGGGTTGAAGATCAGAAGTCTAGTAGAGGAAGAAATCAGGATGCTTTATTGGCTGCTTGCCTCTACATTGCTTGTCGACAAGAAGACAAGCCACGCACTGTAAAGGGTACAACAGCTTATGATTCTTGTAACATTTAGATGCTTCCTAATGTATATATTCCTATATAAATGAGCTTCCCTGAATCTATGGATTTCAAATAGAAATTTGTTCTGTTGCCAATGGAGCCACTAAGAAGGAAATTGGCCGAGCAAAAGAATACATAGTGAAACAACTGGGTTTGGAGAAAGGTCAATCTGTTGAGATGGGGACAATACATGCTGGGGACTTTATGGTGAGATTTCTTAATTGTTGTGTACTTTTGTAGAATGGCTTTACTAATTTAACCAATGTCTTAGCTTACTCCTTAATCTTATTATGGTGCACTGACATTATTTTCACCCCTATCATCACAGAGACGTTTTTGTTCTAATCTTGGTATGAATAATCAAGCTGTTAAAGCTGCTCAGGAAGCTGTTCAGAAATCAGAAGAATTTGATATAAGGTAAAATTTAGTTTGTCTTGTACTTTTTTGGAATTTAGAGAATGAAATAGATATTCACTGCTAAAGTTTGGCTTGCCATATTGTTTACTTTTTAATACTAATACATTATACATGTTTACAGTTATTATTCAATATGAATTGAATTAAAGCCTACTTTTACTTCTAAAGAGGAAAATTACTTACGTGGCAGTCTTTCTGTGATAAAATGAACCAACCTTATCAGCTTCAGATTAGGGCTTTATAATTATATAAGTATAAAAATTGTGCATATTAGCTTTTAGATTTAACCTTGTTTCCCTTTGAGTACTACGTGAAGGGAGTCATTATGGATCAGAAAACCTTTGGATTTCTTGAGATGGATGCTGCACCTGTGGGAGAATTGAAAACTATGAGGAGTGTGAGGCATGTTTGTGAGAAGGGGAACCTGTAAGGAGTGTGTGGCATGTTGGAGAAAGTGGAAACACAGAGAAGCGTGTGTGATTAGTGAAGGCTCTGAGGTGGTACATGAGGATATGGTTAAGAGTTGTATAGAATAGCTTTGGATTTGAGCTCTTTTTCCATTAACTAACAACTAGGCAAGAGATGAGTGATGGGTTCAGAACTTCTGTTAGACATGCATATGTAAGTATTATTGAGTTACACAATTAATTGTGTGACTCCTAAATTCCCAATAACGACTTTTGAAGGATATAAATTATTTGCATTGTCCTCCATGTGAACCCATGCTCACGTTTATAGTTTCCTCACTGTCTATTTCATTGCACCTTAATTTTGCATGAATCCATTTCTTGCTTTTTTTTGGGCGTGTTTGGTTAATCTTTCTAATCTGTTGTACGTGCGTTTTGACCTACTGCTACTCTTTGTGGCGTTGAGGATAAACATGAGTTTAGTTGCATTTAGACACGAAACCAGACATCCACTTCATAATTTTCAGATGGATGCCATTAATTTCTTATGATTGATACTCATAACAATTTTTTATCTTCCAGGAGGAGTCCCATATCAATTGCGGCAGCAGTTATATACATAATAACTCAACTTTCTGATGATAAAAAACCTCTTAAAGGTCTGTGCCTCTTCTTTAAGGGAAACATGAAGGCATGAAAGCACGAAATACATACATATTGATTGGTTTAATTGATTTGGCTAATTTTGAATTTGTAATTAAATTTGATTGCAAATAAGATTCTATGCAGCTCTTTATTATCATAGGAGTTAACTCTAAGCTGTTTCATATATGTATCTGACCCATTTTGCTGGTGTAGATATATCAGTTGCCACAGGAGTTGCAGAAGGAACCATTAGGAACTCGTACAAAGATCTCTTTCCCCATGTTTCAAAAATAATACCAAACTGGTATGCAAAGGAAGAGGATTTGAAGAACCTATGCAGCCCTTAAAACAAAGTAATAGAGGCGACATTTAACAACTTAGATGCCATTGGGACGTGCTGTTCTGTATGTACTGAACTGTTTTATACTTTTGTTCAAAATGAAAATGCCTCCTTCATTATTATTTATTTTCTGTTTGGCATTTTCCTTGTAGTTAACTGTACCATTCATTTTGGTTCACCCTCCCAATGTGAGAATTCCTGGGAGAGGGACCGTTCATGTAGAAAATTTGCTCAACCTTAATGAAAGTAAGCTTATTTTGCATACTTGCGTTAAAATCACCGGGTCATCTATTATTATCCATTTAATTTTCCTTGACACTCTTTATCAGTTTGGTTATTTGTATATGGATTACACAAGCTATTGAATACGACACTGGCTGGAGACTAAGTAAGCTTGGAACTGCTTTATTGTTTACTTTTATTCTAGGCTTGTCCACAAAAATAAAATGTTCCTCCCTAAGGCCATTTAAAATTATAGGTTATTATTTATACGTTCTCAGCCCCTTCTTACGGTCTTCTAAAATGTTTGGGGTGTCTTTTATTTTGTGAATTTTTTAAGGAGGTTTCATTTTTATTGATAATTATAAGTGACATTTTTTTCTTAATTTTAATAATTTATACAGGAAATAATGAACATTTTCGGATCATCTACAACCTTCCAATTTCTTTTTTGTCTAGTTCTTTTGGGTCTTTCGTTGTGCCTTTTCTTTTCAGTTTGAAAGCAGGGCGTAATAGCAATAGTTCTGGGCTTTCAAGAAGCCCTACTGATCATAGAAGACTATATAATCTGCCTATTTCTTGGATTTATCGTGCTTCTTAAATGTTAACAGTGGAGCTCTGCTCTTTGTACGAAATGTTTGCATACGGATTTTGGGGAAATTACGTGGTCTTTTATTGTTGGTCTATTGTTAAATTAAAAAAATAATAAACAGTAATCGTTTGAGGGGAATCAAGGTCAGATCTTTTTATACAATTTTTGATACCATGTATCTAATTATTCTTCTAAGATTTTGTATAAGATTTAATTTTATGTAATTATGTGCGTCTTTAAAAAAATGAATTATATTTATTTTCCGTCAGGGATAACCTTTTATGATCATTTTTTTACCCTTTCAAAATGAGTTTATATGATATATAGATAAAAATCTCCGTTGTAATGGAGAAATATCAGGAGGATAATTTTTTTATTCTTGTATAATTCCGTTAGAGAAAAAACCCAAACAGGCTATTAAGTTTAAGAATTGAAGTGGTTTCTACGGGTGCAGAATTATTACTGATTTAGTGGAAACAAGTTGTTCTCCATTGCTATATATCCGTGTTCTGCTGTGCTGTTGCTAATATAAAGTGAGAAAATTTATCATGGTGGAAAGTGAGAACAAGTCATATTTACCATTGAATTAAATTAAAAAATTAGTTTTTAATTTAAAAAAATCACGTCGCCATATTCTCATTATGTTTTTCTAACATCACTGCCAAATGCCAACAATACCAATAGAAGAAAAACCACTGGTTCTGGTCGGAGAAATAAACAACAGTGGCTCACTCAATGTTCTTTAACGCTAAATAAGGACAAATAAACACCCATTTCTCTCTCGAAATCATATATTGACTCATCAACTAGACCATTGATACTCCCATTTCTTGGTGCTAATTAAATAGACATAGTTGACTCTTTTATTAGTCCATGCCAAAATAAGTATAGGCAAGGTCAAAATGATGGCAGATTCTTTTGCATCAATCCTAGTAGACACGATCAAAATATAAAAGCATAACATTAACTAGGAAATTGTTATCAATTTCAATTTGTCCTTGAAGAATTAAAGCAAGTTATCACAGTGAATGCAATCGATTCAATAGCATTTCTCTTTCCATCACGTGGCTTGTGGGTTTGGAAATTGGAAGCAAACCCAAACTCTAAGCTTGTCTAAAATCAAGCAAATTTGTTAATCCTATATACCTATTTTTTCCTATGTTCTTCCAATTTATTCAGGAAAAAAAAAATAGAAAGCAACCCGAAAAAACTTCCCCTTTATTATCAAACCACTCTTCAGGAGGAACCTATAAGAGATAAAACAATATCTTTCTTTCTTGCTGTGAAGCGTTTCTAAGGAAAATTTGTCACTTGGTGCTCTCCTAGCAAAAATAGCCTTTTAATATTATAATTTTCTTACGAGGCATAAATAATAAAAGCAAACTCAGAAAAAGAAACACAGTGGAACAATAATTGTGAAGTTATCATTCCGGAGAGGGATGTCTTAATATTTGGTAGTTGCCATAAATTATTATAACTTGGTCACAGTTTTCACATAATGATATGAGATCTACTAAGATTATGGATTCAAATAAAACAAAATTAACAACATCTATGAAGTAAGCATTAACTACATAAAGAAAAAAAAAAGTTATTTCTCAATTTGTTCAACTTGAATAATTCAAAAATCAAAACAAATGATATACGTAATTATCAGATTGATCTCAAATGACAAATGGAGAATTAAACTAGTGACAAGTTGATTGTATCTAATTTAATCTTCATCCAAAAAGTCTTCACGTTGACATAGTTATCATTGATGTCAACAAACCTTGTCTTTTTATGCTATAAAATTTAATATGTTCTTACAATTTTTTAAATAAAGTGATTGGATAATAAAATAAGGTCAAATATATGGTTCTCTTTAAAGGAGAAAGTTAGGTATTTTTTTAATACACGAATCAATTGTAACTGTTAATTTTATATTAATAGATAATAAATTTAGTAATTTAATTAAAAAATTAATATTTTCTAATTTTTAAGATAATAAAAAAATTATAATTATTAATTTAACATGGTATAAAATAAGTCTCTCAAGTCTATAGATGCCGTAATAATTACCTAAAATAAATTTTATATAATCAAAAGAATACAGCTATAATATAAATATAGGATGTATTTAATTAAAATATTTTTTATTTTAAAATTGTAGTGAATTTAAATTTAAATCATATAATCAATCTCTATTAAATAATTTTTTATTTTTCTTTCATTACTCTCAAATAAATTGTTAAAAAACTTATAATTTATTTTTTACTTTATATATATATATATATATATATATATATATAATTAAAAGTTAATAATCACATGGTTACTTAAAAAAAGTTATATGTATTTTAAAAAATTTTCCCTTTTATATAAAATAAAGTTATGCATTTTCATTGTTTTAATTTTTATAATATCATTTTGTCACAACTTTTTACCAAATCTATAGTTTTTTAAATCATCCATTCATAATATCAAGATATGAAAATCTTACTCCCAAGTAAAGCCTTAAAAAGCTTATAATTTATACATTAAAGAAGGTGTCCACGTCTATCTTCCTTCAAATTTTCAATCTTATTTTATTTTGATTAGCACACACTTATACCAACTAGTGACCCATTTTAATAGAAAACCAATTTTATAGTACCGCATCATAAAACTACGTTGACGCGTGTACTCTAAGAATCATGTGTTTATCGCGCAGCACACGAGGAATGGATGAAGATCTGAACCATTATTTGGAATCCACGTAGCAATCCATTACCCATATTCTATGTATTGTCTAACATGGAATCTGAAAGTATCATTTTCACGTTATTATTATTTTGAAGCAAAATTGGATTTGGATCCATTTTCTCCACTGATCATAGTACTAATGCCATCACTCAAATAGCATTTAGGCATGTGTCAATTCATTAGAGATCATCTTATGATCTTTATTACAAAATTTAATATCTTTTCTTATATGATATTTCATTATTGAATAATAATATAAAACATATATTGTTAATGCAATTAACTTTTTTATCATAACATTTTATAAAATAACATATAACTTTTAAAATATAATCAATATTAGCATTTATATTAGAATTATATTTACTTTTTTATTATGACCCCTACAATTATTTATTTGTTATTTATGATACATGCATAAAATAAGAATCAGGTACAAAAAGATAATTAAAAATAATATTTAATATCATCTTAAAATTTTAAATAAATAAACAAATAAAAATAAAGTAAAAAAGAAAACAGAATAAAAGGACTAGTCAAGTAAATACTTTAAGAATATCACGACTTTATACTTTCACTAACAATTTTTTTATGCAATTAACGGATATATCTTTTTAATTCAAGTGAAATTTTTGACAAAAATTAATTAAACCATAATAAAGATTTTATTTTTGAAATATAAATTAGAGAGGTAAAATTTAAAATTATATACAATTAAAAAGGTGAATTATTTAAATTAAGATATATTTAATAATTCAAAATTCAAAAATTAAATTTAAAATTACACAAGATGATCGTGCTCATTTCTATATTTTCTTGGAACTTGAAGGAATAATTTTAAATTATTATTTAATTTTAAAATATGTATATATAATAATATATTTGATATTAATTTTAAATTTTAAAATATAAAAAATGATGCGGTTAATTTCTCCCAAGGTGGGGAATAGCCACGTGGAGATGTCTGCCGTCACTGCAAATCAAAAGCAACAAACCACTTTCAATCTCTGCCTTTTTTTTTTTCTCATACTTTTACTCATCAATACAAATATAATTGTACTTGCTTTCATTCAAAACCATTAATATATATATTTTTTAAATAAACAGGAAAATATATTAATATTTATAATTATTAGTATATTTTGTTTTTATTTTATAGATAACTTGTATTAAAAAGTCATAATTCTTTTAAATCCCATCTGATATATTTGTTTTCTGAAAAATTTTAATATAGAGTTCATAAATAAAGCATTCAATCTACTTGTAATTGAAGATCTAAATAAAGAGAGAATTACAATAATGTATAATAATTATAAAAAAATTAAATACACATTTTTGGATATATATATATATATATATAATATTTTTGAATAAACATTTATATAATTTAATAGTTTTAAAAGTTTCACATTTCAATAAAAAAAAAATAAACTTACAATCTTCTTTATTAAAGACCTTTAAAAGAGTTATGAAAAGTATTTTTTTTATTCATCTATATTAGCAATTTGAGTGGTGAGGAGGCTTTTCTCCCTCCCTTTTTTCTGATCAAGACAACAGTAAAAATAAGTTTGAACACCAAAGATTTAACAATAAGAGAAATAGCTTAAATGATGTGACATGATAGGGCTCTCACAGCAAAATTATAGTTCTAACAATGTTTGAGTTTGAATAAATTTATAAAAAATGAATAAAATATTTTTTATAAAATAAAAATAATTTATATTTTAAAGAAATTTTATTTAAATTTTTTAAAATTTAAAAAGATAAATTATTTTGAGTTATTTGAGAAGTTTTATTTATTTTTATACTGATTTTTTTTATAAAGACCTGTGTAAATGTTTACTTAAACTAGACTTAAGTTTAATTACAAAGATAAAAAGTGACAAATAAATAAATAAAGAGACGATGAAGATAATAAAACTAAAAAATTTATTTAATTATACTTTAAATAATTTTTTTAATAAATACTTGTAAGAGTAAAAAAAAATTATTTTTTTATAAATCAAAATTAACTTATGTTTTTTTAAAATTTTGAAAAATATAAATATTTTTAATTTATGATAGAATTATATTTAATTTTTAAAAAAATACTTATTTAGAAGCTTATTTCAAACTGCTTGATAAGAAAATAATTATAAAAAAAATCCATCAATATGAATAAATAGTCTCCATAAGAAAAATGAGAGAAACTTGCCCAAATAACCTTAAATTTATTTTGTGTGTGCTTCAGTACTAAAAAAGTTTAAATTTATTTATTTTGGTATGATTTAAATTTATCTTATTTTTGGGTCCACATAATTTAAATTTACTTAAGTTAAGAAATCTACATGCCCACGTGTTGAAATTGAGGGTAGCTCACTCACCACATCTTGAAGCAAAGATGTCTATCACAAAATTAGAATATATATACAAAAAGTTAAAAGGGTCCTATTCTCTTTCATTTTCTTTAATATTATTATAAAATAATGTAAAATCTCTATTAATATATTTTTAGGAAATAAAATTATAATTGTTAACAATTTCTAATATAATGAACACAACAAAAAAATTTAATTTTGAATGAAATTGACAACTCTAGTTACATTTGTTCATGAAAATATTTATAAATTAACAAATTGGAAGGATCTCAAATTGTTGGTAAATTGAGATAGAAACTAATTTATAAATGTACATTTTAAAAGACTAAAGTAAAAGAAATCATTACTTTTAAGGAATAAATTGTATATTATTTCTAATGTAAATGAATTTATGAACAATGATAAATATAAATAACTTTTTAATAATTTTACCACTTTCTATAATTTAGAATTCTTTTTAAAAACTAATTTTAAATATTTTTTTGATTAATTTATAATTTTAAAAACAAAATTTTATATGAACTTTGGAATTTATTTTATTTTTTATGCTTTATGATTAACTATGAGCGTTTAAAAATATTTATTCTTAACTTTAACAGTATTAATGCAAAAGTTATTTTAAGAAATTTGTATCTGCTAAATAGATAAAAGTGACTTGTACTTCATAACAATAATTTTGTTTTGTTTTATTTTATTCTGTGAGATCAAATATATAAATTATACAATACTATTAAGATCATTTAAAAATTAAAGTATTTAGCATATAATTTACTATATTTTTTAATAATTTTATTTAAGGTTATTATAATTATTATTTTATCCTTTTTTATTATAGTAAAAATTATATTATTCACTTTTTTTATTTTTGTTTTTAGCGATTTGTAAACGTATCTAAACTATTCTAGTTAGTTTTTTGTCATCTATTTTTAGACAGTTATTATTTTAAAATGTTTCACATAATGAAGATATATTTTTTTAAAAATGATTATAATTTAAATATCTCATAAAAATTAATTTATCCGTAGATAATTTTCTAATGAAAGTCACAAAAGGATAAATATTAAAAGCTAAAAATTAAAATTTAATAATGAAACAAGTAACTTTTATGCAAATAAACTTACTTATCAATAGTTTTTCTTTTTCTCGCATGAAAGATTGTGCATAAGTTGCATAAATTAATACAATATGTAGGTACAATATTTAGTAACATAGGCATATAGTTTATAATTTATTCTTTAAGTTAAAATTAGCATATGAAAAGTTACTAGTAACATTTGATTTATTGAAAATAAACTTTTAATAAAAATGTTCCACTTCTAGATAATTACTCACACGAAATAACACTTTTTTAATTATTTTATACATTTTAATTAGTTATTAATTAGACTTAATAAATAAATTTAACTCAATCAATTAATTATAAATTATAAAATTTCAGTCAATTATAAATATTTAGCTAATTTTACAAAATAAAATTGTAAATTCAATGTTGAGCTTACATGATCAAATCAGGTTAACAACTAGTAATTTGATTAAAATATATTAATAGTATAAACATTAAAATTGTGATATAATAAAAAATGATTATTTTTATAATAAAAAATTATAAATATGTAAATTATTGATTCATGTGAGCATTATAAAGATGGATTGAAACATGAAATGATGGATGCGATGGGACAGGAGAAAAGCTAACGTTGGACCATGACAGTGTACTTCTTGCATGGTGGGATGGAATGAAGCAAGAGATGAGATGGGTCATAGCATCCCCTTTACACATCCTCTGCATCAAAAGTAAGCTGAACCTGTGCCCAACATTTCCTGCAATTCATTTCTCTTTTTCCTTTTCTAATCATTTCAACACCAAAGTAGAAGATGGAATATCATCCCCAAATGGCCTAAGCAGTTATTGCAGATATTAGGGACTGTACTCACTCAAGTTTAGTTTCAGTTTTTTTTTCAATAAATAATTTTGACTTGTTCAAATTAAGTTAGAGAACAAAACTACTGATTGCTAAATAACTAAATCTTATTCTAATGAAATGTAATTTGTTAAATAATTAAATTATAATTTAGAAACTAAAATTTCAGCTGCTAGAATTTAGATATCAAAGTTTTAGTTGTTAATTAAAATATATTTTTAATATTAAAAAATTAGTTGCTACAAGTTAATTCAAGTGTAATTTTGAAATTTAGAAACTGAATTTTCCATCTCTGGTTGAAGTATATTTGAATGACGGAAATATCAGTTCGCATGCATTTATTGAATATACGCATGTATATTCATGGATATTAGATTTAAAACTTATATTATTTAATTTTTATAAAATAAAAAATATTAATTTAATTGTTAAATTGTTTTATATTATTTATTAATTATATATCAAATTTTATAATATTTGAATATTTATAGGTGTACATGTTATCTAAAATTTAATATTTATTTATATTTTAAAAATATATTATTCGTTGAGATTAAATAATGTGATAAAATACTAAATAGTTTATATTGATAGTGTAAATACTAAATTTGTTGTTTACTGTTTAAGAATTTTGTCATAGTATAAAAAAATGAATACATGATCACGTGCCTATGTTTCTTTGTCCTTACGGATTAACATTTTGTTCTATAAAACGTGTTTATCCCTTTCAAACGATAAAACTTATTTGTCTCAATCCCAAAGATCCCTATCAAATTCATATCGATTCAACCATTTTTTCAACTTCAATTTGTTTCATTTTTTTAATTGATGCCTTATCACCTCACCGAAGGTTAACAATAAAAATAAAATAAAATATTCACCCACGTAAAATAATAGCAACAAGTTCAAAAATAATTAAAAAATGACTTTAATTTAATTAATTACTTTTTCATGTTTTCTGTATTAATAGGATGTTTAGATTTAGTGTAAGATTACATCAGTGTAAGAAAATTCTATATATATAAATAAAAGTTATATAAATCATGAAATTATTCTTTAAAAATAAAAATAGTTAGAAAGCACATGACATGGTTGGGAGTCACAGAGATGTGTAAAGGCATCTTTCCATGTGAGTGAATACTAAGAGTGAAAATAATATTATAATAAATGTAAATTTCCTAAAACGAGGTGGGGTTCCTTCAGAAGTACAACCACCACTTGGCACATTAAATAATTTAGGGATGACTCATTACAACCTTAGCTTTCATGCCAACGTGATTTTTTATTTTTTATTTTAAATTAGAAGTAAAAATTATTTTTTTATAAATATTAAATCTTATTAAATTTTGTTAATGAGTTAACTAAAGTAAATATAAAATATTATAAGAATTTTTTAAAAATTATAAAGTTGAACTAAAAATATTTATTATGACATGTGGATAGTGGGCATAATAATAAATAGCAGTATCTTGCAGCTATGCTACATAGAGAGTAGGCACCTCACATTCCTTTCATCAACTGTATCAACTGCATACACTCATTCTCTGCTTCCTCAAAACATAATTTCTCTCCTTTTATTTCCATTGTCAATTCCATGCACACACATCACTTCTGTAACATATATAAAATCTACACTTGGATAAATTATTAATTTCTAAATTTATTTATTTTTTATAAATAAAATTAAATAAAATATTTAAAGATTAATAACATCTTTAAACTTAAAATCTATAATATTTGGCTATTAATTTCAAGTATGTAAATTTTTTTATTTAGATCTCAAATATTTTTGTAAGAAAAATAAGCTAATTTAAATAATATAAAATTATTATAAGTAACCAATTTTTAAAATATTTGATATAAATATATATTCAAAATTTGAATTTAAATTTATTAATTAATTTTTTTTTCATATTAATTGATATTTTGGGATACCGATAAGGCTTAATTTAAATGCGATGACTTTTAAATCTCTTTATTTCAACAGCTAAGGTTCTGAATACACTGTACAATGAAGCACATTACACGGCCACATGATTAGTTATTCCAAAGAATTAAAAGGATAATTCGGCAAATTTGTTATTGGTACTGATTAAGTTATTTATAATTTTTTTCTTGATCCTTGTGAAAAAAATCTTAAAGGACAATCAATTTTAAAATGAAAGAAATAACAATTAAGATAATTTGTAAACACAAAATATTAAAAAAATACAGTTATCTTTATTAAAATTAATTCATTAAATAATAAATTATATAGTTTTGGAAATTCGAATAAAATTTGGTTTTGGAGATAAAAACGTGGGCGAAGTGATGTCCCAACATTGATTTCCTTTCTATAAATACCGAACATACCTACCTAACTAGCATTACACACAACAATTACCTACCTCAGCCACAAGAAACAATTGTTGAATGGCTTCTTCTAGCTATGAAAGTTCACCAATGGCTTCTAATTTTTGCAGCCATGAAAAAGTGCTTAGCAATGGAACGTTCCATCCAACACCAGTGGTAGTTGTTGTTGTGCCTTTCCCAGCACAAGGGCATCTGAACCAGCTTCTTCATCTCTCACGCCTCATCATAGCATATAACATACCTGTTCATTTTGTAGGCACACCCACACACAATCGCCAAGCCATAGTTCGTGCACAAGGTTGGGACCCAACTTCTATTTCAAACATTCATATTCATGACTTGAAGGTTCCTCCTTTTGTTTCCCCTTCTCCTAATCCATATGCTCAAACAAAGTTCCCTTCACATCTTTTCCCTTCTTTTGAGGCCTCAACAAGACTTCGTGAACCCGTGGCTTCACTTTTGCAATCTCTTTCATCTAGGGCTAGAAGGGTTGTTGTCATCCATGACTCCCTTATGGCTTATGTGGTGCAAGATGCTATTCGTATACCCAATTGTGAGAGCTACACTTTCCATAGTGTCTCTGCCTTCACCATGTTTTTGTACTTTTGGGATGCAATGGGGAGACCCCAAATAGAAAGTTCTCACATCCCTGAGGTTCCATCTCTTGAAGGGTGTTTCACAACCCAATTCATAGATTTCATCACTTCACAATATGAGTTCCATAAGTTTAGCAATGGAACCATTTACAACACCACAAGGGCAATTGAAAGCCCTTATATGGAGTTAATAGAGAGGATCATTGGTAGCAAGACTCATTGGGCTTTGGGGCCCTTTAACCCTTTGTCCATTGAAAAGGGTGTGTGTGAAGGTAAAAGGCACTTTAGTGTTGAATGGCTTGATAAGCAAGAGCCAAGATCAGTTATGTATGTGTCTTTTGGGACAACCACATGCTTCACTGAGGAACAAATAAAGGAACTTGCAAGTGGGTTGGAACAAAGCAAGCAAAAGTTCATATGGGTAGTGAGAGATGCTGACAAAGGAGATGTGTTCAATGAGGAACATGGAGTGAGAAGTGTTGAACTTCCAAAAGGGTTTGAAGAGAGAGTTGAAGGCATTGGGTTAGTTGTGAGAGATTGGGCGCCCCAATTGGAAATTCTAAGTCACATTTCAACTGGGGGGTTTATGAGTCACTGTGGTTGGAACTCTTGCATGGAAAGCATCACTATGGGAGTGCCAATAGCAGCATGGCCTATGCATTCTGATCAACCTAGGAACAGAGTTTTGGTGACTGAAGTGCTTAAGGTTGGTTTGGTTGTGAAGGATTGGGCCCACAGGGATGAGTTGGTGACAGCATCAGATGTTGAGAATGCTGTGAAGAGGTTGATGGCAACAAAGGAAGGTGGTGAAATGAGACAAAAGGCAAGGAACCTGAAAAATGCCATTCTCAAGTCCGTGGATGAAGGAGGTGTTTCTCGTGTGGAATTGGATTCATTCATTGCCCACGTCACTAGATAGTTTGGTTTTGGTCCAATTAATGTCAATCACAAGCTAGGCGTGTTGATAATAATAATATATAATAATAATAGTAATATATAAATATATGTATACTTGTAGTGGATATGGTATATACCATTCACACTACATTAAGTGTATGCAAAGATAAGGTTCTTAATCTGGTATTTTTTAAACTAGTATTTTTGTCGTGTCAATATTTGTAAAGACACTCAAGTTAGATTTATATGAACATGATGTTTTTCATTTTAATAATCAATTATTTTTGCCTTTGAACACTTAAATGATTGTACCAACTTTTTATTGTTAATTATTTGTTTGTTTGATTTGTCCAAAGAAAAATTAGAACGCACCAGCTATTGTATTTCTTGTACACTTTCTTTGTTACAGAGTGAATTTCACGTCAATCACACGACAAAATAAGTACAAAATTGTTTAGTAAAAAATCATATGAATTGGACTTAATGATAATGTTTATGAAAGACTGTATTACTAATAATAAAGATAATTTATCTCCGACCTAATTGTTGTCAACATCACAGATTCTGAACCATGACATCTTAATTTGTTGTATCTGATCTGTTTGAAGTCTATCTTATTCTGCTTTTTGTTTGACTTAGTCATATCTTATTTTTGGTGTAATTTTGAATTCAAATGTGATACTTTATCCTTATCAAGAATCAAGATAGTTGACTATTCTCTATTCTATGTACAACTGGATAGCTCAGAAACGTGAGTTAAACCCACTTTTATTCCAAATCTTCATATGGTATCGAATATGAAGGTCATCGTAACTTCGTAAAATTTTTAATAAAATTTTATTATTTAATATGATGAGAGAGCACTACTTACTAAAACTAATTGTTTCAGTATATATTGTATAGATATAGATTAAATTAATCTTAATATAAATACTTTTACTACGTTCTGCTCTCACGATATTTTTTTTTCTTACCATTCCTGCCGTCTCACTTATAGAACCCTTAATATTAGAGCTGTCAAAATAGATCAAAGTCCTGAGTTTTACCTTATTAACCCTTAATATAACCCTATATTTCTTAAAGTTATATGGTTAGTGGGTTTATATTAGCCCTAAATCCTAAAATAAAAAAAAAAAAAGTAGACTAAGATTGAGATTAGAGCTGAGCTATCTCACTTATTTTGCAAAGTAAATAATAACTATTATATCATTTTTTATAATATTTATTAAATTATTTTATTTAAATAAATTAAAAATTATATTTAAAATATAAAAAATAATTTTAAAAATAAATTTTTTTATTCAATATATTAAAATTTTATCATAAAAATAATATAAAATATAATTATATTATAAAATTAAATTAAATTTAACTTTTGCATTTGTTTAGTTTTATTAATTAAATTTAATATAGTATGTTAGTAATTTATAATTTTAATTAAGAATAAAATATTCTATATCTAACGGGATTTAATTATTTGTTCGAACGTAATTTTTATAATATTAACGAATGGCTCGAGGATGATTTTTTTCCTGTCTTTTGGTACTTACGCTAGGACATTTTCTCTTGGATACGATGTCGTTTTTATTGAATGAGATTTTCCTTTCGTCATTGACGAGGCGATAGCTTTGTTTACAATTGGACAGCTGTCATTTCATTTTATAATTATATGTTAACTTATTACTTATAATATATTATATTAATAGTATATTTAAGACTTATTGATTTGAGCACAGTTTAATTTCAGTCAAGTTACCATTTGAATAACTAAAACATTGAATTATAAAATAAATTATCTCTTTGTTATCAAGGGAAATTAAGAAAGTGAAAGAAAGAAACATGTCACCAAGCTTTTAGGCTATTATATTTATGTATGGTTTGCAATATGCTAATAAGGTTCCAGAGTGGTTAAAAGCTTGTACGCAATTGAACCTCAGGGTACATATCTATAGTTTATATAATTTTATAAATAAATATTTTAAAATTTATTTATAAAATTATATAAAAAATTATTAAAATTATATAATAATCATTATTTTTATTAATTTTATTTAATAACAACAATCATTATAAATATTTAATATTATATAATTTTTTTAAAGTAATTTTATTGGACTACAAGTTTATTATAAAAAATATTATATAAAATAAATACTTTTACTAAATATTCTAATAATTATTGTAATTCATATCAAATTTTCTTAAATTTAATTTTTTAAGAGCATATAAATTTTTTTGGCCCACAAAACTCTCACCCTAACCCTAGTATTGTAGGCTTTTTGGTCCTATAGACTTATAAATTAGTGAGCTTTTTAGTCCGCAGGACTTTTTTGCCCTAACCCATGTGGGTTAAGGCTAGGAATAAGATTGAGTCAAATAGATTTTTTGACAACTCTACTTAATATAGATTAATTTCAAAAATTTTACAGTCATTTTTTTTTATTCACTCAATTATGTGTATCTGTAACGTAATATTTTATTGTTATTTATTTGTTTTGTTTTTTTTTATTCGTAGGAAAAATTAGAACAAAAATATTAATAACCTATTATTTTATGTTTTCCTTTTAATATTTTTTTATGTTAAATATATATATATATATATATATATATATATAAACTTACATATAACAATTAATGAAATAATAAATTATAACATGTTAGATATAAGTTAAATAAAAGACTTATATTAAATATAAAAGTATGGAGAAGAATGATTTAGATTGGATGTAAAAATTTTTAGACTTACACTAGTGTAAAAAAATCCTCTCTTTAAAAGTATATATATATATATTCTTTATATAAATATTTTTAACACACTTCTTACTTTCTTTTTTACAATTTCTGCCATCTCACTTATAGAAGTTTTTCTAAAGATCAATCACATAAATTTATGTAGGAATTTTATTTATTCACAAAGTCGTGTGTTTGTGACCTACTCTAATTTCTTTTAGCTGAATTTTTAAATAAGTAAATGTAATGGAGAAGTTTTAAAGTTCCAACAACTTATAACACAATGCTATTTAGATTATTACAAACATGGATTAACCGAATTTTTTACCAACAAGAACTTAATAAAAAATTGAACTGACATCATTAAAACCTTTTCAACTATAAAATTGTCATATAAAATTTCAGTAAGATTGTAGGATTCTTGAAAGAAATTTAACTTACCTTCTTATCTGATGTCGTACTCCACTCTTAGGAAAAGCTAAAATGTTCGTGCACGAAGTTAAATCATATGTACAAAACTACATTCAGGATCGTATTTTTAGAATTAGCACATTGTTCAGTGGTGTGTCTTTTTTTTGCAATTAATTCTTGAAGTTCTCACCAAGAGTTAAACAATTTTTAATTATAAAAAAAAAAAAAAAAAAACCTTTATCTTAAAATCTCACCTTCACAAAGGTATAAAAAGGTCATTTAACGGTAAAGAACCCAAAACAAGTGTCGTACGTGTTTGTGGACTAATATTGTCGACTGAGCAGAAAGCACTCGCACCGTCGCATGTCACAACTGCAAATTGCGAGTACCCTTGCTCACACCTCATGCATCTATGTTTCACCAATTTCTTTTACAGATGGTACATAACAAACCAAAGAACATTAGGGATATGGAATTTGAATTTTCTAAAACTGCTGTACGAAAAGTAGGTCAGATTATTTTAAATTAACATAAAATCTTATGGATTCCACTTTTACAAAGTGAAAGATCCAGGTTACAAAGTAAAGTGACGACTTAAAGACAATGATTAAAAATTAAACGTTCGAGATTTCAACAAATATATAATTTATTACATACGTTCTTGTATTAAATTTAAAAAACTATAAATCTTTACTTTACTCTCTAAAGATAATATCTCAAGCAAAATCGAAAATTTTTAATAGTTAATTACATTATACTTTAAGTTACTCTCTAACCACAAGTTCTCCAGTGATGTACATCATCAATCAAACAGAATATTTTTCTTGTTCTGTGTCTATAACACTAACCCAGCATGTATTGCTACATCATTGCCTTCAGCTTCTGGTTATGGTCAACAATGACATGCTGCTGCATCAGAATCATGATCAATTTGACCAAAGTCAAGCTTCAGATGTTATCACCACGGCCCTTTGCTGGACAAGGTCATCTTAACCACAGCTTCTGCAGCTTTCTCACAACATCATTGGATCCTACAAGCTACAACATCCAATTCTCAAGTTACAATCCTTAGTTTCTTTTTCCCCCAAGTCCCAGAGTGGAAATGAAGGATTGTCACCAATATTTCAGGGGAGAACAGGAACCTCCACCTTGTCAAAGGAAAAGAAGCTGACCCTTCCCTCTGCGACCAGGCAGATTTTCAAAGGAATGTTACCACATTGTCTCTGAAGGGCTTGAATTTCTGCCCTAGATGGTGGATGACCCCTAATAGAAGATAGATGGTATAACTGATTAAATAATTTCCATAACCAGATGAAAAAAAAAGGATGAAAACAAATAAAGAAGATTAGAGCTAAGGAAAATTTTGCATAGTTATTAATTGATAAGGATTGAATAATCGGTGTGGTTTTTTTCAGGTCATTTTTTGAAACGAATAACATACTGTGTGCCTAAATGATCCTAATAGATAAATAACTTCATTAGCTAGTTCCTCACTCTTGTTCCCCGAAGAAGTAGCATCATTCCAACAAATGGCGACAAATTTCTCAAAGAATGTTATGAAGCACATTTAACTGACAACATAAAATTGAATTTTCCTCTTGTCATTGCCTTTATCAATTCTGAAAGTTTCATGTGAGACATAAAATTGCAACATTGCATCCCATCTGCACTTTGCAACCCCTGCCCCCAAAAACACACATGCATGCACACAATGAAGTAGCATGTCAGTGCCCGCACACAAGGGCTTCTATCAGTGAGTGCAAAATTGTAAGTGATGATATGCTCAAATTCCAGAGTCACATTCTCACTTACTCCATAATTTTTTGGATAACAATGTAAATATCACTTATCAATTAAATTTCTGAATCTCAACAATCATACTGATACAATCAGGGATGTAGTGGTTACCTAGACAAGTGCAGTAGAAAACTTGGATCACCTGGAGAAGATTTTCTAAACCTGCTGTTTGGAAGATAAACATCAAAATCTGGCCTCATTTCATTAATCTGCAACTGACCAAAAAAATTTTTGATGGAAAGCTCAACTTCAGAACCCATGTCTACTACTTGTTTTCTTTCTTCTGTGACTTCAAGAGTGACAGATTTATCAGAACTTCTAATACTCTTCAAACTCCAAGCAGCACCATGCCGCCCAATTATGAATCCAAGAGACTTGAGGTGCCTGTAAACCTCAAACAGCTCCCAAGAACATCCACTCTTCCTGCCAGCTACCTTTTCATATATTTCTGTTAATGACATGCTTCTACCACCATTATCTAAGAGATCTAAGGCTCCTAGTTCCATAAGATACCTGCACAATCATACTTTACATGAACACAATTTTTCAAAACATATTACAAAATTTAATATATACTTTTACTCACAAACAATATAAGCTAATAACATAATTTATTATTCAGAGAAAGTTACAGCTTTAAGAATTATGTGACTCTTTCCTACTTCTGAATGGCACAACAAAGAACATATATAAAGATGGCATATCACCTACAAAGTCTCCTCAATTGAAGAATAAATCTTGCCGTTGCGAACAATTCCAGTTGTTACCCACATTTTCCCATTCTTCTCAGTGACTTCAGCCATTCCCATCTCTTCATTCCAAGTGCTTTTGGATTTCACATTCCTGGCAAGTGAAATGCAAAAGCTTCACTTTGAAAACTATACTTAAGCGGGGGAATCATAGATATCATACCAGTAAGTAACTAATTTACAGTATAAAAAATACTTGACCTGAACTGCAACTTTGGCATAGAACCAGATGAAAATTGAAGGTCCTCATCCTCACTTGCATTTTGCAAATAGACCTCATCATCACTATCTTCACTTGAAGAACAACCCCTTGTCTTGCCTTCCATAGGTCAAAAGCTGTAACTTAAAATATAACCAATTAATAGGGGGACCAAAAATCAAGAAACATTTTGTTAGCATTGTAGGCAGAGGTCAGGCTAGTAATACTAATACAAAAGAACTCAAATGTGAGAAGCAGAACAAGTGCTGGACTAGCCTTACCTAGTGGAGCTTGCCTTCAAAACATCTATATTAATATATTACAAGCTTTCCAAATTTACATAACCACAATATACTTTCACAATATGGTTAGTGATAAACAATATATGTGTTCAACCACCATACATACATATCATGATACGTTAAAACAGTTTATTTATGAAGAAAATTAAAGTATTGGAGTGTACCAATACATGATACAGTCTCCTATGATTATTTAATACAAACCAACTTGATCACTAATTAAAACATATCTCTGATGCTAGAGAGTACAGTATCAATCAAAGGTGCTTGGTACTGATCTTATGTTTGACAAAGGGGAGTCATGGCAGCTCCCCCAAAACTTGTCAAGATTTTTAGAGATAAACGAAAGAAAATAATATTGGCTCCATGAAATGTAAGTTACAAAAAAATAATAGTGATGCTAGCCGTCTAGCCCATTATTTTTCTTTGTAAGTTTTACATATTACAGTTCTGATACAAACTAACACAATTTAGCAAATAATTTCATAACTACCAAACTAGCAACAAGCAATTGATCTTGTGTTGAAGAAACACAGCTTTATCAAGCTCAGAGGAAAAACATCAATTCCAATTGTCCAAAGTAAGAACTCAAGGGAACACAACTAACTAAGTTTCTAAAACTTAACATTGTGACAGCCAGCAGCAGAGTACAACAAAATTTGTTAAAGTAATGGCTAACATAGAAATCAAGCAGGATCTAATAAATAACAAGAAAAATTTCACAACAAATCAAAGACCATATAAAAATGGCATAGTTAAATCTGACAAATATTATACTTTTATACTTTTGCTTGTTTATTTTCTTGGAGGTACTGCACCATTGTTAATTGATTTTAGTGACTGCCTATATTTAGAATAGATAAAAATATCTAAAAATATTATCTTACCATTTCTAATTTTCTAGGATTAATTTATTTATATTATAATTATCTCTTAGGATTTGGAATCCTGTGTTTTACGTGTTCCATTAGTATCCAAATGCAGCAATAAAATTATAACAAATGACCTAGATTCCAATATGTAGAAAACCTGTAGTTAATTGAAAGCCATGGATATCCTTGGAAATTGGAATGGGATTCATAGCTGAAAATCTCCTCCTTTCTTTGATAGGCATAATAAATTTGACTAACAAGTCATCAATTCTCCAAAACTTGATTAAAACATTTCGTATTATCTTAACAGGGGTATAATTATATCATAGTATAATTAGGGTCAACACAGATAAGGCCAAGAATAAGAATTTGTACAAATAAATACTAATTAAGGTTTTGTTTTTCTCATGTTAAAGTTAATGGTGTCCATAAACATCTAATCCCATCTGAGAGAAGTAATCTGGTAACCATAATATCAGTCCCATATGGTATAGATGATGTGAGTGGGGGAACTTCTGAAACCCTTTAATAAGTTGCTTGTTACAAGCACTCGATTATACTAGCTAGAAGATATCAAATTCAAATAATATACAAGCAATTTTGTAAAAGAAAATAAATGAAGAACAAAAATGGTCTTGACCAAAAACAGAATTTAAATGACGTATAGAAGTTGTCCCAGAGCATCATCTTAAAGATCACATTCAAGCAATTACACAAAACCGATATTTAAACAATATCCGCTACACACTAAAAAAGGAATGCAGCGATAACAATGACTAAAAACATACAATTTAAGCCCAAATCACGGAAGACCATTTATTTAAATTATAAAATGAAGAACTACGAGGGACACATTAAAAGATAGATTCAAGTTCAGATGAAGTCACGAGAGACCAAACAGTTTCATTAAATGATGAATAAAATGCATAAATGAGAACAAGGCATTACCTGTGCTTAGTAACTGTCACCACCTTTCTGCAATCCCAAAACAAACACAAGGCATAAACACAAACACCTCACAGGCAAAAATGAAACCAAAACGCAAGGGAAAGCGGTAGAAAACCAAAAGAGAAACGCACCTTAGTTTGGTTGCTGCAAGCGAAGCCAGTGTTCAGCGACTCTAAACCCTTACAGGCTTACACGACACAAGACAAATAAAACAGGGAAAGTAAGAAAAATTACTGCTGCGTGAGATACAAGTAATATTTTATATCAAGTTTCTTCAAATTTGTTGACGAGAAAATTGTCTATTCTTGATTACTATCATTTAGTGCTCTAAGAATTAAGCCTAATCCTATCGGGTGGGCTATTTTTAAATTTAAAAAATTGAAAAAAATTATATTATAAATAATTTATGTTTAAATTAAGTAAAAATTTAGAAAAAATATACAAAAACTAAAAATCAATTTTCATTATTTTATAAAGATTTCAAATATATTTAACTTATTAAAATATATATAAAAAGTGTATTAAAAATATGTTGCTATTAATCTTTTCACTACTGTACCACCACCACTGTTAATATAAAGTAAATTCTTAAATTAGTTTTTAAAATTATTAAAGTCAAATGTTTTAATTGCTTAAATTTTAAAATATTTTTTATTGTTCATCATTTTAATCTTCGATAAAACAATGACAAAATTTTAAAAATTAAAATATGTGACCATAACAATCCTAAGGACCAATTTAAAACTTTACTCGTTAATATTACTGGCAGCACTTTAATCACTATTTGATTCAATACTTCTCTTTTGCTTCAAATATATTTCTATGAATAGTTAATTTCATCCAAATATGTTTTTCATGGTAAGAGTAAATATTTATTCTCAAGAAAATTAAGTATTAGCTACATTATCTACAAGGTTGGTTTAATTAATAATGAAAAATTTGTTCTACAAAACAATTTCGATCGCAAAAGGAGGGTAAAAAAGAATGCACCATGAAAATCACTAACCTGTGCAAGGGAGAGAGCGTGATCGGTGGTTTAACGGCGGCGATGGCGATGATTAGAGAGCTAAGGAGGGGTTTAAAAACCCTTCAAGATCTCGAATTGCTCAAGCTCTTCAAGTCTGAGATTAATTTTGAACTTTCTTCTAATCACTTTCAGGTTCTCTCTCTCAATCTCTTCATTACTTGCTTGCTTCATCTTCCACTCGTTCACATTCTCATTTAGTTACACGTGCATTTTCGTCCGTGCAGAATGCCCCACGTGGTTCCTTAGGGGATTTTGTACTGGACACGGATTCACCACGTTCAAAAGATGTGATTTTGCGAAGAAATTTTGATTCGGGTGAGGAAGTTGCGATTTCTGCTATGTTGGGTCCTCCTAATTATGAGAAAGACCTCGTTTTTCCAAGGGATGTTTTCATGAAAGTGTGTGTGAAAAAGCCAGCTTTGAGTTCCATCTTGCAATTTGACTGTGATGTTTATGAAGAAGCTGATAAAGGCTCTGAATTTGATATTTACAATGCTTATTATCTTAAATCACCTACGTGTCTTGGCCCTTCCGTTTACCGAGGGCCCTTGTTCAGGTAAAAGACTCAGAAATTCTTATTCTTGTGTGTTGTCAAATTATCATGTGCATAGTGGAAATTTGGAAATGGAGGAGTGTTTTTCTCGTTCTTTTTTTTCCTCTCAATCTGCATATTGATGCTGTTTATGTTCCACAAAAGTTAGCTTTATAACACTGCCATTTCAAAAATCTGCAGTTTGATATGAGCTATTTAATGAGATAGTAATCCTGTGTCTGCACATTACTTCCACCGTTGAAAGAGGGAATTTAAGATACTTTACTATTTTGAAGACTGCGTCCATTTACTATGTAATTCAATTTCCAAGTAATAGGTCATACTTAATTTGCATTTGTAAAGGGCTAAAGGCTATGGCCCTTTCCTTAAAATATATGATCTAATATTTGATATTCCAGTTTGAGCGGAAGTTGATTTGTTTTGGGTTTTCAATGATGTTGATACTTTCAGTGCTGGTTGATCTGCTTAATGACAAAGATTGGATTGATGTTATAGACTATAGCTGTATAATTTATCTAGGAGCCTACCCATTTCTTTATGGATTTGATTTGCTTGGTTTTGATCATATGGCGTGCTCAAAATCTGAAAGATACTTGAACCTTTCCCCTCCTCCTTTTATTTGCGTATCATGTCACCATGCTACATTTTTCTAGTTCATTTATTCTTCAAGTGTTAATGCCATATAGTCATGGTACCCTAATGGCTTAAACACTCAGAACTTCTGCCTAACTATCCATCCATCTTTTGTATACCTCAGCTTTGTAATAACTGAGACCTCTGCCTAACTATAAATTTAGCCATCTATCCTTTCTGGACCTTTGAGTGTTGAAATAGCATGTTATGTACTTGTATTGCTTTTATATTAAGATGACATGCTGCAAGCAATAATCCTGTAGGCATAGCTATTGAAAGTACATTTCCAGAGGATTACTCATTTTGTTCCAGTTCTTGCTGGTAACATTGAAGAAACTAAGCAAGGCATTCAACTGTTCTTCTTAATTAAAGCTGGATTCGAAAAAGATTGATTTTTTAATGAAAAATTGAAAATTGCAACTTTTTAACTGTTACTGTAGGTACTTTAGTTACTTCTCTTCTGAACTGGTAGGCTTGTAGTTCTAAGCCTGTAAGAATTTAACCTATATGCTAAAATGAAGAACACTTTTTCACTTTGGAAAGTTGAATGGACTAGAACAGCAGACATGCATTTCCTTGTTTCCTGTATGGCTTCATGAAATCAACACGCATAAGCTGGTTTTAACAATATCATACTTTCGAGTTATGTAAACCATTCATAAATCATATGGATTTTTTCACTAATACTTATCTTGTTCATTGTATTGTCTATATCCATGCGAAGCGGATTGGATTTTGAGTTGCAAGATGCACTCAAGGAATACCTGAAAGCCAGGGGCATTGGGGTAAGCCTCACCAATTTCCTTCTCCACTACCTACACAAAAGAGAGCAAGAGCAATACGTGAACTGGTTGAAGAAAGGTGAAGCATTTGTGGCAAAAAATGGGTCATTGAGTCAATTTTCAGGGACACATTCTACATAAACAGGGTTGCAATATTGTCAATTTTGGCACTTGTCAAGGGTGAGGGAATTCTGGATCAATTTTTACTGATATTTTAACAAATGTTGAGTTAGGATGATGATCAGGTTGCCAAATAATTAAACTGTAATATGCAATGTTGAATTATGTCTCTATAGTAAATGTTATTTCTTGTTAATCACTCACTCCAAACAAAGTAGTTTTGGATTTTCATACAAGTACTTAAATAAAAATATATCAAAATTAAACTTTAATTCTTTTGTAACAAGTTTACTTTTGGCAAAGAGAGATGTGTGACATTAAAAGATTAAAGTTTATCAAAAGAAATTAAGTTAATAAAAATACAATGAAATAAATGTTGATTTAGCCAGAAGTAATTTAAAGTTTATATTATAAACTTTAATCCCGCTTAAGTTTATTGACACTTACGCAACTTGAGTTTTTTCTATCAAAAAATATGCCTGTGATTTTAGTTAAATATATATATTAAAATTGATATATACGCTTCTTAATTCTCCAGCTTTGTTATTTTCAACAATTAATGTAAAAGTAACAAATATTATAAACTTATAACAGTTTCAATTTTATAATATTTGTAAATTTCTTTATCTATTTTTTTTTGTCGTGTAATTGTTTCTTAAAGTTGTTGTAGGCCCAATGACCTCTCAATGTGAGTTGTTACCCATCTCATATTTGGCGGGCTTACTGTGATTGAGTTTAAGGAGACGTGAGCTAGGGCTCATATCATTTGTAATCTCTTTTCCTTTTCTCGATTTCAGAAAATAATATACAAATTAAGAAATATAATAATATTTTTATTTTCATTAAAAATATTTTAAAATTTACAAAATTTTATTTTTTTCATTTACTATAAATTAATAAAATATATAAATTTAAGTATCATTAACACATTGATTAATAAAAAAAATTATGAGAGTCTTATTAACTGGCCTCACTATTATTGATATACCCCTACCATAATTTATAATAAAAACTTATTGATTAATTTTTAATTAATACCTTTAGACACTGGTTAGTAAGAGTTTATAAAATATTTTAAGAATTAAACGAAGACAATAGTATATTTATAAAGATAATAAAAAATTATATTAAATTTTTAGAAGAATATATAAATAGGAACAATGTTTTTAAGATTGAATATGTTTAGTCTTTAAAATTTTTATAAAGTTCTATTTTAGTTCATTTAAACTTTTTCTAGACTTTTTATTCTTGTATTTGTGTAACTTAAATATTGTTAATGCTTGTTCCTAACATGTTTACACTTATAATTAATATGTGATAGCCTTTTTGTTAATTACGTTGTTATTTGTCCAGAAGAGCTAAAGGTGTTGATTTTAAAAAATGAGAATTAAAATTATAAAAGAAATTAAAGAACCAAAACTTTTGTATATACAAAAATACAGAGAACAAATAAATTAACACATAAAAAACTGAATGTAGCAAATTTCCCATCACATGTGTTTTAAACTTTCAGGTTTAGGATAAATGTATTTTTTAACTTTTATATTATAATCTTAAACGAGTATTTTTTTAGAAAGTGTAAATAATTTTTAAACTCCACAGTTTTTTTATACACCTTTGAGGTCTGAGAAAATTGTAGGCACCATAATATACTGCTCGCATAATATACGCATGCTATATTTCTAGGGCTGTTTGTTAAAGCATTGTAGTATTTTTATTTTTATTTTTATTTTTTTGGTAAATTTTAAATGTTTTTGGGTATTTTGAGAGATTAATCTTTATCATATTTGACAAAACAACAAAAGAGAAAATTAATGTAAAAATGGAAATAATGATGTACTTTTTATTTAATTAGTTTCCCTTTCTTCAATTTAAACTTTTCTCTGAGACTCAAACAAACAAAGACTACACTTGAAAAAAGTATATTTGCACACAATAAGGTTTTTGAGAAGTTGTTTTAATAACTTCTGAAAAATAATATAATTATATTTTAAAATTAAAATGTTTTTAAGTTATAATCAAACAACAAGTATTTTTTATTAAAATTATAAACTTAGGCGCAAATCTTTAAAATTTTATGAAAAAATTTAAGGTAGTTATAACCACTATTAATTCATATTAACGTTTGTTAGCTTTTTAAGTTTAATATTATTTTATTAGGAAAAATATTTTTTAAAAATAATTAAAAATTAATATTTGAATTCAAGACTATTAAGTTGAAACAATCTCGTGGTACTTAATCCACACGCTTCACATTAAAAACTCTCCTCTTTAATAAATAAATAAATAAATTCTTGAATTAAATATTTGTAATTTAAAAAATCTTTTTATTTTTTTAACAAGAAAGAAAAGAAGTTTTGGGTAGAAACATTTGTAGGAGATATTTTTTATACATTTAGGTATGCTTTCTTTTTAAGATTTTATCTTTGTAATAATTTTAAAAAGTTGCGTTTTTTATTTCATGATATATTATTCTTTCCTATACTTTAACTTGTTTCGAAAAAGATATCTAATTAACATGAATTTTAAAACATATGTTTACTTTTAAGAAATTGATTTGATGCAACAACAAATATATATAAGTGTAATAAAAATAAATGATGAATTTTTATTTCAAAACATGTCTATTTTTATTAAAAATACAACAAATATTTTATTTTAATACAAATTGTAATTTTAAGTATCTAAAAATTAACGTTTAAGAACTAAAGCTAACAATTTTTCTAATTTAAAACATTTAAAAACATCCCAACCTCATCTCTTTGGTCAGTTCGTGATGGAAGAAAGAATGAACACTATATTCTTAAATACACCTTATTTGTGCTTCTCTTGACATTAGACGTACATATGAATTGAGGAATTCATTGCTCTGAGGCAACGTTAAGAAAGGATATATCCATTGCTTTCAACCAATTCATCATCAATGTCAATGGCCATAAAAGACTCTTTGAAAAATAACAAAGAAACATGTGTAAGCTTCATTTGTGTTATTACGGGATTAGAATTTTCTTGAATAACTAAACGGCAGTCAGTATATTTTATAATTTTATTTAATAAAATATTTATTATTTTTATATATTTATTGTTATTTCTAATTTGAAAAATATTTAAATGTTCCTACAATAAATTTAATTAACCAAAACAAGTTTTTAAATTAACAATACATTTTAGAGTGTGATAAACTCGTCTTATAATTAAAATAGTACCAAAAAAACAATGTTGGAAGATACGAACAATGCCAAACATCTGGTTGTTCATCTGGTTAATCCTTAATGGAGCCATTAAGTGGTTGTCTTAACTAGTTTACTTGTTTTTTTTTTTTTTATGTACCAACCAAAATAAAATAAAATAAAAATTAAGTACCCCTACCCTTAAAAAAGGTAGATGAACTTTCCGACAAAAGAAGGGACATAACATGCGCGTTTATAAAATGCAACCAAATTGACTAATTAATCAACTTAAAATAAATCAAATTATGATTCAGTTTAATTAATTTATTGTCTTAGATTACAGTCTTTCTTTATTTCGAATATTTAATATTTAATACAGTTACATTTATTTTAAGTTGTTGGGTTTAAATTAAAACATGTACATATTATTTATTTAATTTATTACATATATTCAATATTAAAATTAAGTTCTATAAAAAACGTTGACTTGATTATTTTTCATTAAATTACTCTAACACATTATTTATTTTTTATAATGACCATATCTATAGATAACTTCCTCCGATTATTTCGATTATTAAAATTTAAAAAACTAGATTATTAGTAAAAACAAATGGAGAAAAGGGTATTTTTCAACATGAGGGGAAAGAGTATGTACAGTTGTCCCACATTTCTCAGTCAACTAGACAAGGTAGCTTTTAAAATTCTATTACCGTAGTTAGAATGAAGTGTACTTTAAAAAAAGAAAATAAAATCCATCGAATAACATGATAAACGCGAAGATGGTGGAGAGGTTTGGTAAGCATTATTGGCTTAGTTCAGACTCTGCATATTATAGCTACCTTAAATAGAAATATCTATTGCCTTCACATGGTGAGCTTAAATTCTTCAACATTTTACTTATATTTATAAATAATTAAATATTTTTATCATTTATAATTTCTAATCAAATAAAATTATTAAATTATTTTATATATAAATTTAAAACAAACATAAAGTGTCGAAATAAGAAAACATGCTAAATGATGTAGAAAAATAAAAGTTAATACAAGCTTGATTTTGGCTTTAGAAAATTTCATATCATAATTTGAACAGAAATTTTCCTCTTATAAATTCTAAGCAGAGATGGTAATTTGAGACTTCCAAAGCTAGAACAGAATACATTATTAAAATAACAGTTGAAGTTTTAAAAAGTCAAATTTGTAATATAATAATGGGGTTGTATAAAAAAGTATATTTGATAACAATTTCTAGGCTGCTTTTTACCAAAACAAGAAAGCCATCAGATTTTTTTATACTTTTAATTTTATGTTAAATTACATATTTTTATAATACAATGTTCTTTTTTTTATATTGACTATTTATATAAAAAAATCCCATTGATCAACCTCTATATGCATATAAGTTTTTACTGTAGCCGAGCATTATCACTGCAAAAGTTCTTCCACCCACCTCCTATTTAACAATATAGTTTTATCTATAAGAAAACTAATTTAAAGTATATAAAAGCAATCATTTTACTTTATATTATTGATAAAATATTTTTTTAGTAAAATTTATCATTTTTAAGAAAAGGAGAAATTCACATATTTTTAATAAATTTAAACTAAAAATTAAGAGTATTTGAATTTTCTTATTTTTGAACTTATAGCCACGGAATAGGGATAGAAAAGGAGGCTAAGGAGAAAAACCTATTGTTGAGATTCGTGAAAATTGAGGAGCAACATCTTACGATTTCATTGGTTTTTGTTTCAAACTTTGTGTACCCACTGAGATAATGGGAACAAGGGTAGGACTTCCTGAGCCTATTGTTGAACTAAATCAGAATCATAACCCTACCTGTGTTTTTCCATGATCATTCAATGCTCAAGTTTACAAAATTCACAACAAAAATATTTGTAATAATCTTTAATATCATTCACCTTTTTTTTTTTATAAAGACAAAATACTTTATTTTTATAGTCATCTGTTGACATCACATTTAAATATATAAAACGTAAAGTTAATTAATAAAATTTTTAAATTATTTTATATTATCTTTAAATTTTTTTAACACGTTTTGACAACATAATAAACAAATTTTTATAACTAATTAGCAAGACCTTTAATTTCTTTTGTGCAACTTCTTATTCCCTTTCTAATGGGTATACTTTTCTATGGTCTTGCCCTCCCACCGCTGAATTCTCACGTAACACGAAAAGTTATTATGGCATCTACTTTACAAATTAATCAGTAATCCTTATGAACTTATGAATATTCTATTTTAATTTTTTATTTAGTATGTGATATAATATTAAATTGTTTATATTTAATTTTTGTTAATTAATTATGATTAAACCTCTGAATTTTGTATAAATGAATTTTTTATGAGAAATTTTTTGTTCGAGGCTTTCAAGATTAGCAGCTGATAATTTTAAAATTTTAATATTAATTTTAGAATTTTAAAAAGTAAAATAAAAGGTTAGGATGAAGTTTCAAAGCCAATGCTATTAGTTATTCTAAACTTCGTTTTAGGTTTTAAAAAATTAAAATTAGTTAGCTACATCTATTAAAGTCACATAAAAGGAAAATTTTTCATGGTAGGCTTGCAGCTCGTTTATAATTGTTCATTATTATTAATAAGTTTCTTTACATTAAAAAGAATTAAAAGCATAATACATATTTATCTTCAATAGAGAAAGTGTTTACACAATTAGTGTATGTTTAAAAACACATTAAAAACTTTTTAAATGTGATTTTAATATAAAAATTATAATTAATAATATTAAAACAAATGTAATTCGATCCTGCATGGGGTTAAGATAAAGGGACATTAATTTATTTTAATTTATTTGAATTAAATATGGCCATTAAGATAAAAATATAAAATAAAAAAATAAAGTAATATTAATATAAAATAGCATAAAGGGACATGATTAATTATTTGGCCTTAATTTAAAAATTCACAACTATATACACTCCAAACAATTATTACTTTTTATCTTTATCTTTAAATGTATTTAAAGTTTTTTATCCCGTTAAGAATTAAAACATTATTTTTTTATATTGTTTTTAAAATATTTTATGATAAAATGATATATAATAAGTAGATTTATGTTATAATTTTGATAATTGTGCACTATAAAGAAAATTAAAAATGAAATAAAAAGATATGCGAACAAGAATTTTCAAAATGAAAAAAAAGAGAGGAACTATAATAAAATAGTAAAGATAAAACATTGGTAAAAAGCTTATTAGCTGAAACAATTTATAAAACACCGTTTCAGAAAATATTACAAAAATATTATTTATTATTAAAATAATTTTTACTAAACAACTATAAAAATAATATCCATCATAGTCCAATGATTAAAAAGTAACTTGTTTATCTTGTGATTCTTGTCCAAGTCATTCCTAAGATATAGATGGTATAAGTAAACTTTATTTCAGATTAACATGGAGTGACCGGTCCATTATTTCAAATCCCACCTCATTTCATTGTTAACATTTTTTTTTAATATTACCCGTTTTCATCTTTTACAGACCTTGGTCTTTAAGAAAAATACTTGACATACACTTTCGTATTTAAAGAGGTATAAGATTAAAATGATAGAAAAATTATAAGTAATATAAATTTTTAATATATAATAAAATTTTAATAAATTATAATTTATCATTAAATTTATAATTTTTGTAAAAATATATATAAATATTTATTATGCATTCAAATATACTTATAAAAAATATAAATAATGTATAATTTTTTAACATATATACAAGAATACATATTAAGAATAAAGAAATAATAACTTTTCATTAAAAAGCAGAATATTTAATAATATTAATATATTAAATTTATAACATTTATTTTTAATAAAAAAATATTATAATTTGTATAATGTATTATTGCGTATATATTAAAAAAATAAAAAATACACGGAAAAAAGAAAAATAAAATGTTAAAACTAATTAAATGACTAAAATTGAGAATCGTCGTCTATAAATCTCCAATCGTGCTGCCCAATTGCTCCTCGCGTGGGGTTGCAAAATAATAATAAAAAGCCCTTTATATATACGACCACCGTAACTCAAAATCCTTCACGCTTCCGTTGCCGTTTCCCTCGCTGGCCTCTAACACTCTTAACTTAATAAATTCTCCGTTTTACCCTTTCCGATTTCAAATAATGGAGAATCTCCTAAAAGACTTCGAGCTCGAACACAAGAATCCCTCCGTCGAAGCTCTCCGGCGATGGAGATCCGCCGTCAGCTTCGTCAAAAACCGCCGTAGACGCTTCCGCATGGTCGCCGATCTTGATCAGCGCTCCAGAGCTGAGCAAATTCAGAAGGGAATCAAGGTTCATATTCATCTCTTTTCATTCCTTTATTTGCAATCTCTTTGTTTTTAAGATTATCGTGAACTTTAACCGCCATAGGAAAAAACCGCCTAGTAGTAGAAACTTTCAAAAAAGAAAAAGCAGAAAAAAAAAAACCACTCCTGCGATAAAGAGGGCAAAAGACACAAAAAAAGTATGAAAATTATGAGAGTTTTAAAAACTTCAAATTAATATTATTGTTTTTTATTTGTGTCTTCCGTTATAAAAGTCCGCACTCAGATGCTCCGAGTGAAAAAGTAGAGGAAGAAATGTGCGGTGATAACTGATAAAGTAGCGATAAGAAATGGAGTAAATTTTTTTTTCCCCTTCCTTTTTTCTTTTTAAGTTTTGAAAATAATTATTCTGTTAAATGAGATGACAAAAATGTGTTTGGCATTTGCAAAATAAAAAATGTTGCCCGAAATAAAAATAAATGTTTTTATTAAAAATAAAAAATTATTAAAAAGTTAATAATTATTTATAGAAAAAAATAATTTTTAAATATATTTATTATTACTTTTTTTATATTCTTATTTATTTTGATATTTGTGTTAATAGAATAGTTAATTATTATTCATATAAATAAATATGTTTATTTATTTAAGTATATAAGACACTAATTTAATTATTTATGTATAAATTTATAATTTGTAATCATTTTTATTAATTTTATTGGATTTAATATTCATTTTTTATAACTAAAATCAATAATAGTATTTTCTTATAATTTTAATGTAATTCTTCTATTTTTATACATGTTTTTATTATCTTTTTTTTTTAATCACATTATCAATTTCATCTCACTTTATCGATTAACTCCAGTTGGAACCTGTGGGCAATGGGAAAAAGTTAAACCCAATTACACTAGGAGCTTTATTGGATCATAGTTCGACAGTTTGAAATCGATTTTAGCGATTTTTAAAGCTAAGATCAACTAAACCAATAAATGCTTGACGACTTGATAACTGCGTTAAATAATCGTGGTAATTTTTTTATTCTTTCAAAACTGATTCGGGCCATTCTTCTAATAAGCACAAACTTTATTGACAAAAGACACTTTTTGAAAGAGAAAAGTAGCTTGTTTTTTTTCTGGAAAGTAAAATCCTCTCTTGACTTCTTATTTATCTCTTGTGGAGAACAAGAGTGTTATTATTTATCTGATTATTTACAAGTCTATTATTAAAAAGATTAAATGTAAAATAAATAAAAGATATAATGTGTTTTTTTTTTTTACATGTGCATCTTTTTAATAGGAGATTTTGGACCAAATGAAATTTTAAAAAGTTATTGTTTCTTTATTTTGAAAAAATGTTGATTTTTTTCCCTTCTTTCTTTAGTCTCTTCCCCAAACACATTTACTTCCTATTCAAATACGAGTCCATTATGGGTAACGTCATTCTCATTCGCCACTCACGATAGTGTAAGTTAGGGCCTATCGTGCGTGCTGTCTGTGGAGTGTCCTATTTGCTTGGTTGTGTAAATTTACTGTCACCATTGATTATTTCTTGAAAAATCTATTCTATTCATGAAAACGTTAAAATAAACAGAGCCCAAATATTATTACCCCCTTGAAATAGGCTAATTAATGATGCATTATTAGTGTGTGTTGAATTTTCAATTTTAATCTTTAAAACACGGTTCATGCAAAGTTATCAATCAATTTTTTTATACCAATCATAACATTAGACTTTCTAAATAAAAAATCAAACAAGCACTGAATGCTTTGCTTTGTGGTAAATGTGCTTTTGTCATGTTGGTTGGTTGGTGTCATGATATGACTTGTGACCATAACGACACTAAGAAAAAAGTTTGTGCTAATAATTCACATTGGATGGACGGCAAACGATGTTACTTTAAATTTGACATCTGCCGTGCCAATGTATCCTGCAGGGATTTGGAAATTTTACTTAATTTTATTTATTTCTTCAAATTTGGAGTGAGATGGGAAGATAATCAGTTTGAGAATGATAATTTGATATAACTTGACTGGTTTAGATCAATCCTTTTTATAAAGGGTATTTAATAGTGATGTTAATTGATCCTAATTCAAAGAAAAAATTGTTTTCTTAAATGTTTCTTAAACATGCGATTAGTCATTGTGGGAAGTATATTTCTCAGCAATAATCTCGTCCAATATTTGTTCTGTTCTTTCGTTTGCCCGATAGTATTGCTATTCGGTTGCCTTCTAATTTTGTCAGCAGTTTATGCGGTAGAGGGATTGCGTTTTTCTTTTACTTTGTGGTTCGTCTATTTTTTCTTTTCATTTTCTAGCCTAGTGCAGTAGCTTGTTAGCTTCTAACTATTCTTTTCTAGGTCTATAAGCCTGTTAATGTATTTAAATGTAAGTCAATGTCCTAATATGAAATTTTATATTAAAAAAGGTCCTAATATGAAATAAACCTTGAAATTGACTTTTAAACAAGGTATAATGTAATCAAACTTAGAAAATGGCCTATACTAAAGCCTTATATTTCAAAAACAACTTGTGTTCATTTATCATTCTATTTTTGTCAACTGTTTTCGAAGTTTGGTTAATCAGTTATTTTGAATCATTATTTTTAAAAAATCATTTTATTCTGCACTCATGTTAAATATTTAGTTCATTTTAAAGTGATTTTTATATACTAAAATTAAGGAAGTCGTTATTAACTTATAATTTTAAGAAAATATAAGCTTATTTACTTATATTTCTCAATTTATTAATACTTTCTTTTCGACATAATAAAGATATTAAAAAACAATGACGAAGTTTTAAAAAAGTATTTACTATTTTTTTTAATATTTTACAATAACAAATAAGTTGGAACAAACAATACTTTTTTTAAAGCTGCTACACACACACATTTAAATGAACATATTGACATTGAGTGAGATTTGAAATAATACATAAAATTAAATGTCTACGTTTATTTGTATTTTTTTCTGGTCTATATTAACGTAGAGTACATCTAGGATGTTTCTTTATAATTGTAATACTTTGGAAATCGGATATTATTTATATAATGTGTAATGATTTACAAGTCTTAGAAAAAGTAGTAAGATTTGTGCATTTTACTAAATATTTTGTGGTTAATACATTTTATAAATAAATGAAATCCATAAACTGGCGCTGTCTGAAAAACTTTTGTTATCACTTTACAGAATTCAAATGATTGTTTGGACATGAAAATGTTAGAAATATAATATAAAAATAATTTGCTATATCAGAAAATTTTTATTTTGTGGCTCTTAAACTTGCACGAGGTGCGCAGAATAAACAAAATGATCATTTCTGAGAAACATAAAAGGTTAATTTGTCAGTAAAAAAGATTAATGTAAATATTTTATATTAATATGATTAAGTAAATTTTTGGATACTCATGTAGCTTTGATGTTTACCGACATGTAAAGCTTGGACTATTTTATGATACCTCAGTAATAATTTAATAATAATAATATTTAATTTAATATTTAAAAATTATAATATTTGTTGTCCAATCTTGCAGTTAGGTCTTAATTCTTGAAACGATTTTATTAATTGTTGTCCTAACTTATATATAATATTTATTGCATATGTTTTGGCCATGGATAGCAAAACTTGTAATAGTTAGTGTAATTAAATGTTGATACTTGGAGCATATTTAATTTCTTTTTTAAAAATAATTTTCTGTTTTTAAGAATAAAATCAAATATAAATTTATTTCTTCTCATGAAGTTTTATTTAGGGCGTACTAAAGTTGGCTTCAACTATAGATGTAAACTTTTTAGTGTGTAAATTTATCTATCATTAGCGATAGGAAACTTCCTCGAAATTTCCGTTGCAAAAGCGATATGTGAACGTTGATTGTCAAAGACAATATTCCCTTCCGTCATTTTTATGCGTCTCTTTTAAATATTTTCGTGACATTTAATATATATATATATATAAAAGAAATATTTATTATTATTTATTTTTTTGTATGTTGAAATTTTAATTATTAATAGAATAACAGTTTCTTAATATGCAGTTAAAGATACATAATTATAAAATTAAGAGATAATATAAATTTCTTAAAATTATAACATTTAATAATATTATGTGATTTTTAATACATTAAATCTTATAAAATTGTATATAAATTTTTATTATATATCTTTGCATATATATTAAAAATTTAGTAAAATAATAAAATTTAACTTTAAATAAATAAAGATAAACATAAAATGTTATAATTTATTTTTGAATATAAGTTTTATATATAGTACCGAATAGACTCAGATTTGATAGATATCAACAGGTCTAAAATTAGTGAGAAACAAAAATATGGAAGCAGTTAGCATCCCTTGAAATTGACACCAATGTCCTGTATCAGTCTAAAATTATGGGCCCCTCTGATTGAGTTTTTGTCTTATGTAAATAATACAGATATTAAAAAAAATCTCTAGCAGAATAACCTAAGTTTTTCGATAAGATGACAATATCAGGAGAATTAATTTAGTTTTAGTGTTGAAAGAAAAAATTAGTTGCCCATAATGTAAATATTAAATATTAAATTGTTAGTTTTATTAAATAATTTGAATCTACTGGGATACTTAATTAGGAAAATAATGTGAATTTTTTTAATGATAAAAAAAATAAAAGTGGGGTGGCAAAAATGACCTCATAGCGTATCTGGGACGGCACGAAACGTATCTACCCTTGACTTGTCTTTTGCTGTTGAATTGAGAATGACTTAAAACGCGGCTTGAACGCGTTAAATTGAGTTTTCGATTAGGTCAACGACGCAGCAACATTTGGAAATTAACGTTCGTTTAATTTGCGCGTAAATTGGTGCCGCAAGTTCTGCTGCCGTATTGATGTCAACAATGGCGGATGTTAGTTGATGAAAGTAAATATTTACTGTAAAAGGGTCTCAGACCACAGGGAGACAAGGGTTTAGTCTGATTCCTAATCTCTCTCATCGATTAACAGTGAATTAGTCAGGAACTTATTCAATCAATTCTTATCTAATTTTTAATTATTTTAGGATTTTATTTGGACTGAGTTTAAATATTAACAAAATTTTTTTTTTTATAAAAAAAGTATACAATTATTATATTAAAGTTATAAAAATATAATAAATACTTTTTTAATAATATTTTACTATTATTAACAAAATCTTTCATTTAATAAATTTTTATAAAATGATAATTTATTTATATGATTAATTGTAAATTTTATCGAAATATATTATAATTGATAGCTTAAAAAAAAGCCATGCTTTTGTGAGCTTAAATGATTTTTTTTTGTCCAAATTCTTGCTAAACTTAATTCATTCTTACATATGAAAAGGGCCAGACACACTCTTTAGCATAATATTTTTTTATAATATTTATAGTTAATTAACAATTTTAAAAGTATGATAGAAAATTATTAAATCAGTAGTAGAAATCATTGAATTTGATGTAATATTTATATAATTTTTATGATTTTTAATAAATTTTAGTCAATAATTATAGTTTTATTTGATAAAATTAGTTATAAGCTTGAAAGCTTGTTACTTATATAATTTTTAAGCTAATTGAAAGCCTAAAACTTATAACTTAAAGCTTATTATAGTTTTACAAGTAGTTAATTAAAATAGAGTTTTTTTTTGGGGGTAAAATTAGCTTACATGTATTAAATAACTAAAATGAATATGTATATTATTGCATAATATTTTAATTACGTCAGGAGAGAGAAATTTAAGGTTTATACGTATTTGTACTTTGTTCAAATGGGTAAGGGTAAAAATGAGATAAAATTATTGATAGTAAGTTATAAGCTCAACTTTACTTTAACATGATTTTTAAAAGTTAGCTTTTATAAGTTATAAGCTCTGTGTTAGCAAACATTTAAAAAAGAGTATTTTAGAGAGTGTGTATATATTGTGTGTTAAAAGAGTATTTTAGAGTGTAACAGCAATCTGGGTGTGATAGTAACACTCAAACAATCTTAGCTCCTACCAGTGTAAGATAGCTTAAATAAAAAGAAAATGAAAGGATTAAATTTTATTGCAATACAGTTCTGTTGAATCAACTTTTTTAGTGAATCTAAATTTAGGGTGCGTTTAGATTATTATTTTTTGAATTTTCTTGAAAAACATAAGAGAACATGTTATTTCTTTGAAACAAATATGTCTTTGTGTAAATTTTGTTCATATCATCATTCGTTATATGTTGGCCCATTATTAAAGGAGTTTTTCCTCGAGTCTTGCCTACCTTAGCAATGACCTCTCTGCATTATGATTAACCATTCCTTGTGATATTTGAGTGAAAAATGCAACTAGCAATATATCTTTTGATGGTCATGTAACTCAGTTCCAGAAAAAAAAAAAAAAACACTTATGATGAAATGGGAAATACTAACATATTTGTTGTTGAATTTTAGACTGAGGTTTCTGGAAAGAATTGTCCATAACGTTCTTAAAGTTTAATTTTAGCACTAATTTCATGAAATACCAATTCATGTGCCGGGATACTGTTTCTTACTTAAATTAAGGATATCGTTGCCTATCATTATGTATATTGTCAATTTGTCATTACCAATTTTACTGTATTATCTTTGGTTTACCCCATCAGGAAAAAATTCGAATTGCTCTCTATGTTCAAAAGGCTGCATTACAATTTATTGATGGTATGATGCTTCAATTTCAATAGTCAAAGTTCTTATCATTGCTTTAGGAGTAATCATTTTCTCATTTTCTTTCCATATGTTTCTAAGCTAGTCTGGTTTTCTTATGCAGCTGGTAATCGAGTTGAATATAAGCTATCGGGTGAGGCAAGGGAAGCTGGTTTTGGCATTCATCCAGATGAGATTGCTTCTATTGTTCATGGCCATGATTATAAGAACTTGAATGATATTGGTGGAGTTGAAGGCATTGCAAGGAAACTGTCAGTTTCTGTGGATGGAGGTGTCAGCGAAGAGAGTATACATAGCAGACAACAGATTTATGGGGTCAATCGTTATACAGAAAAACCTGCTAGAACGTTCTTTATGTTTGTATGGGACGCACTGCAGGACTTAACTCTGATCATTCTCCTGGTTTGTGCCGTAGTTTCTGTAGGCGTCGGGATTGCCACTGAAGGGTTGCCACAAGGAATGTATGATGGTGTGGGAATCCTACTCAGTATATTCTTGGTAGTCATTGTTACAGCTGTCAGTGACTACAAGCAATCCCTGCAATTCAGGGATTTGGACAAAGAGAAGAAAAAGATATTTGTTCAGGTCACCAGGGATGGGAAAAGACAGAAGATCTTAATTTTTGATATAGTAGTTGGTGATGTTGTTCATTTGTCAACTGGGGATCAAGTTCCAGCTGATGGGATTTTTATTTCAGGATACTCTTTGCTTATTGATGAATCGAGTTTGTCAGGTGAGAGCGAACCTGTATATGTGAATGAAGAAAAACCTTTTCTTCTTTCAGGAACCAAAGTGCAAGATGGTCAGGGGAAGATGTTAGTTACAACTGTTGGCATGAGGACTGAATGGGGAAAATTGATGGAGGCTGTAAATGAGGGAGGAGAGGATGAGACTCCATTGCAGGTCAAACTAAATGGTGTTGCAACCATTATTGGTAAAATTGGTTTGACATTTGCTGTTCTGACATTTGTGGTATTGGCAGTAAGGTTTCTGGTTGAAAAAGCACTTCATGGTAAGTTTGCTAGTTGGTCTTCGGATGATGCAATGAAGCTGCTGGACTACTTTGCTATTTCCGTAACCATAATAGTTGTTGCAGTTCCTGAAGGATTACCACTGGCTGTGACACTCAGTCTTGCTTTTGCAATGAAAAAATTAATGAATGACAAGGCACTTGTAAGGCATCTTTCTGCTTGTGAGACTATGGGTTCAGCTAGTTGCATTTGCACAGATAAGACAGGTACATTGACTACTAACCGAATGGTGGTTAATAAAGTATGGATATGTGAAAAAGCCATTCAGATGAAAGGTAATGAGAGTGCAGACGAACTGAAAACATATTTATCTGAAGGAGTTCTAAACATCCTTTTGCAGGCTATATTTGAAAATACTTCTGCTGAGGTAGTTAAGGGTAAAGATGGAAAGAACAAAATATTGGGAACCCCAACAGAATCAGCACTATTGGAATTTGGCTTGCTTTTGGGGGCAGATTTTGATTCCTATGCTCCGCGCAGAGGGTATAAGATACTCAAAGTTGAGCCATTCAATTCAGTCCGAAAGAAGATGTCTGTGCTTGTGGGTGTTCCTAATGGTGGGGTCCGAGCTTTCTGCAAAGGTGCATCAGAAATAATATTAAAAATGTGTGACAAAATTATTGATTGCAATGGGAAAGTTGTTGATCTTCCTGAAGATCGGGCAAATGATGTATCTGATGTTATAAATGGCTTTGCTTCGGATGCTTTGAGAACTCTTTGTTTGGCTGTCAAAGAGATAAACGAAACTCATGGGGAAGACTACATTCCTGATAGTGGCTATACTCTAATAGCCTTAGTAGGAATAAAGGATCCAGTACGCCCCGAGGTTAAGGAAGCTGTTGAAACTTGTATAGCTGCTGGAATAACTGTCCGCATGATCACTGGTGATAACATACATACAGCTAGGGCAATAGCTAAAGAATGTGGTTTACTTACTGAGGGTGGTGTAGCCATTGAAGGTCCAGATTTTCGTAACATGTCTCCTGAGCAAATGAAGGATGTCATACCAACAATCCAGGTTCTGATCTCATCATAAAAACTGTCACTTTCAGTTCTCTTGAGGAAAAGGAAAAGGGATAGGTGATTTGTATCCTATCTTGAGATGCTTGACTTTTCTTTTGTACTTAATGTGGTTTCAGGTGATGGCACGATCCTCACCGCTCGACAAGCATAAGTTAGTAACCAATTTGAGGAATATGTTTGGTGAGGTTGTTGCTGTTACTGGCGATGGAACTAATGATGCTCCTGCACTGCGTGAAGCAGACATCGGACTTGCAATGGGCATAGCAGGAACAGAGGTCTGTATGTTGAAGATATTAAGTGTTGTCATCTATTCTAGTTACATCAAATATTTCTCGATTCTTTAATTTTTCATTTGCTCTCGTGCTTCCTCCCCTCTAGACTTGTACTATTTGTCGAGGTATCTATTTGTTCTCTTCTCTGTATTATATACTAATCCTTTCTGATGCCATCAATATCTAACAACATTTTCTGTCTTTGGAAATTGATAACATTTACAGGTTGCTAAAGAAAAGGCGGATGTCATTGTAATGGATGATAACTTCACGACTATTGTCAATGTGGTCAGATGGGGACGTGCAGTATATATAAACATTCAAAAATTTGTGCAGTTTCAATTGACAGTTAATGTTGTTGCTCTGGTTATCAACTTTTTGTCTGCATGCATCACTGGTTTGTTGGTTAAGAGAATTTGTTTTCCCTTTTATATTCTGTTGAATTTGCTTCAAGGAACATCAGTGGTATTTTTCTTTTCTTTCAGGATCTGCTCCACTCACAGCTGTTCAGTTGCTTTGGGTTAACTTGATCATGGATACTCTTGGTGCATTGGCCCTCGCAACCGAACCTCCTAACGATGCACTTTTGGAAAGACCACCAGTTCCTAGGGGAGCAAGCTTTATCACCAAACCTATGTGGAGGAATATCATTGGTCAAAGTATATATCAATTAATTATTCTCATTATTCTGAATTTTGACGGGAAGAGGCTACTCAGAATCGGTGGTTCAGATGCAACAAAAGTACTCAACACATTGATATTCAACTCCTTTGTATTTTGCCAGGTACACTTTATAATACATTTCCTTATTGTTATATATACTTAATAAACTCCAAACATGATAGATTCTGAGAATGAACACAAAAATAAAAGTTCAAACCTAGTAAAAAAATGATACAGTACATAGTTTTCCGTTTATTTAGCTTGCTGTTTTCCCTTTGTTATTTTTCCAGGTGTTTAATGAGATAAACAGCAGAGATATTGTAAACATAAACGTCTTCAGAGGCATATTTGACAGCTGGATATTTCTGTTAATAATTTTCGTCACTGTGACATTTCAAGTGGTGATAGTTGAATTCCTTGGAGCGTTTGCCAGCACTGTGCCTCTAAACTGGCAATTCTGGTTACTTAGCGTGTTAATAGGAGCAGTTAGCATGCCTATAGCTGCTATCCTAAAGTGCATCCCTGTTGAAAGAAATACTAATAAGCACCATGATGGTTATGAGTCACTGCCATCTGGTCCTGAACTGGCATAAAATTTTAGAAGAGTATGGTTCCGTCTTCCTTTCCTTTGCTTTTGGTTCATGAACATTTCTTTTCTTTTCTTTTTTTATATATTTTTGGGAAACTAATCTTAGGAAAAACAACTGGATGAACATTGAGAAGAACGTCTAACCAAGCTACTTTTTGACACGAGGGAAATGCTTGGGTTCCTTTGCTGATTTCTCCTACTAGTTGCTTTTAGTGCTTTTATTTGTTGCATTGTAATTTTGCGTAATTTTGTGAAGCTTTGATAACATGAGGGATTTCCAGGCATGACGAAATGTGCACTTGGAACGTGTACATGGTTGTTGAAAAAGAAATGATTGAAGGCAAATTCCAGTAACACTTCTTTCTTTGCAGACACATAAAGTTCTGTAAATCTGTTTTGTCATAGAACCAGCTGTTTGAGGAGGAGGATTTTCATTTGAGAAAAGTTCCTAACTTTTGCAACTTGTATAGTTCACATAATTGTTGTGAGAACTCATTAAACGAATCTTATTATGCCAAACTCTTAGAACTTATCTTGCACCCTTGCTTTACCTGTATGATTACAAAGCTCATGCTCTAATAGACTCATACCAAGCAAGCTAGTTGGGAGCCTCCATATTATGCACCCCTGCATTTGAGCAGAGTTGGGACCGTTTGCTTGTAAAACAGAGATCTCAGCACGTGCTAATACAGATAACGACGCTCGAATTAATTGAACTGAAAGTTGGAATTCCTTAAACATTATAGTTGGCAAGTGCAGGAGTGCATTTTTGTAATGTGCATTATACTCTTACATATTTAATATCTTCTGTGCTTAGGGTAGATAGCTAAGTTATATTGAATATCAAACTCAACATGATTTTAATTATATAGTTTTGAAACAATTGCTTCAGACGCCTTCCTAAACATAATGTCTTGAGCTTCAACTCATCGCATAAAAAAAATTGGCATGTTTGCATAGGACAAAAGGTGCGAGTGATAATGTTGGTGGTAGTTACAACATAATAGCATTATAAAATCACTTCCCTCTACTCCTAGTCACATTACAAAGAATACTGTTCATATAAATAAACTACAATAGAATACACGAATAAGACAATAGGTGAGTGTGAGACATTGTTCATCTAAACCTCCTTTTTGTCTCTCCATATGCTGCTACTCCCATTACGGTAATCGAATAGCCAGCCATGCCAATAAAAGTGACAGGATTTCTGAATAGGAGTATTGAGATTACAACGGCTACAGCACCTTTTGCATTGCCTAATACCTGGTTAACATAATTTTAGAGGGATTTCAGTGTATGAATTGTGTAAAATAACGAAGCAAGTTTGCAATAAGCATACCTTAAAATAAATTGTTAATGTGATTTTGGGTCTGGTTACCCAAGGAAGCAACTTGCATAATCAAATAATTAAAAGGACTGGGTGGAATCTTGATTATGACAACATCGGTAGAACTGTCTAAGGTATACTTTTTCCAAAAAGAAAACAACTAAAAGAAAAACAATGTATTTGCAGAAGCTAAAGGAAGTTTTATCTAGTGATTAATGTTTTAGCATCAAGTGCTTGTTTGGCTCCTTCAAGAAACAATACATATAAACATGTGCATTGCACAGAAATATTGCAGAGCAAACTTGTAACGATTATAAATTTTTGCAAAAATCACGCATAAAATTCTGAAAAACATTTGAAAGAAAATGTGTGAATCAAGATTTTATCAAAAATCCTAAAATCTTACTTTGTTAATCTTTCATAGTGTCAAGACATTTGAAAGCTCAAACATCTAATATGCCAAATAAAGTATAGATAAAAGTCATGTTTAGTTTTCCACTGATGGTTCTCATGATTAAAAAAAAATGGTTTTGAATTATTCCATTAGCTTTTAACTAAATATGTTCTCATAATTTCTACTAGTGATGAAAAGAGACAAACCTGGAGAGTAAGAGCACTAGTATGTTTAGTCACCAAGAAATTTGTTAAGTTTGCTGCATATGCTGTGACTGAGTTAAGCAAAAGAAGTAGCCACATAGATTTATGTTCCTTTCCAAGTGATATAGTGACATCAACAACATTAGGCTCCATGATAAGCGCTGCAGGTAACAAAACTAGGATAGCAATTGGAGACATATAGAGGAGCAAATTCATTGAGTTCAGCTTCTCCCTGTTAAGTTGAAGTGGATGCAATATGATAAGTATTTTGTAACAGCATAAAAAAATAAAAGGCTAAACCAATTTTGTTTTACTGAAGTCCAAGAGATTATGGGGAGGGAGGAACCTCAAGTGCTGGTAATTGTCTTACTAATATTGATAAGTTGGAGGAACATAAAAGTTTTCAATACTTATTGCAAAAGAAAAGAAGAAAATGATAAAGGTATCTTATGTTGTGTTTTTAGTACAGACAATTTAACCAAAGTTTCAATGTTAGAAAAGAGAGAGAGTCTAAAATGTGCAACCCAGTTACCCTGTTGTACTACAACACTGCATAAATACATAAGAGTGTGTCTTTAAAATAAAGTTGGGGATTGATGGTACTTTCAGAAACCTATATCAATTCATTTGGATCACGCATGAGAAATGTCATAAAAGGCATGAACAAAATTAAATTTAGTTTCTAAACAAGGTTTTAATCATACCATAAGTTTGTTCAAAACTACTCCTTTCCTATTTTATATATTTTAAAACAACCGCACACCAAGATGAAAATAGTATAGGAGCTTCATTGGTTAATTAGTTATTTGTTGGATTGGAAAAGTGAAGTGGTACAGACGATTGACACAACCTGCTTGACAACAAAGACAGCTCAAATCTAAAACAACCCAAGATTTCAATCATAACGAAGAAAAAAGATTGACATTTGAGAACTATTACCATGTATTGACTGCCTCCACTCAAGTTAAGTAATACTTCAGCCTCTCAAAATATTTGGGACTGCTTGGTTTGAGAAGATGTTTTCTATATATTTTTTTCTTTTTTCACTATTAATTGCAAAATTGTCACATTGTTTTTAGCTTGTTTCCTGTTTTCAAATATTTATACAGAAAAAAATGAAGTTTATTTTTATTTTTACTGTTTTCTACACAAATATTTGCAAATAAGAAATAAATAAAAACAAAGTGACAATTTTGTAATTGAAAGTGAAAATAGAAAACGCTTTCTAAAACCAAACAACTCTTGAGGCTTTGTTTGGAAATTAGAAAAAGACTTATGTGATGGTTATCCTTGTTTGAGAGTTTTTAGACGAGATAGAGAAGATTTATAAACCCTCCAAAATCCTCCTAATCACATTTTTAAGTTCTCCCAATTTGAGAGGTTTCATATTAACCCTCATTTTTCCTTCCTAACCTTTCAAACTATTTTTTTCTCTATCCCTCCAAACTCCCAAACAAAGCCTAAGTTTCTAGAGAACCACCTTCAAATCAAATCTCATTAAGATGCTGACTATTTAGATATATTATAATAAAGAAGGGCATTCAATACTCATTTACAGTATTACTTAAACTAACAGACTCCATACAATTAAGGGTTCTTGCTCAAGAATATTTCAATCGGCATCCAATATTAATTTTAAAAGGAAACTTACCGAAATGTATTAAATGTAAATAATTAGAAAGCATAAAAATGATGAAAAGTTTTAAGCAAGAAACATGAGGGTATTAGTACTTCCATTTTTCTTTATCAATCGTATAAGAACCACTGGGAGGGAAAAAGAGGAGAAAAACATGCTCCTCTGGTAGCAGTGTTCTGCCAACCCATCTTTCATGTATGGAGTAATTATGATATATCAACTGGCTTAATTACACAAGCTGGAAAAATATATCTTTTATTTTGCAAATGATATTTGCTTCCTAATGTTTAACGTAAGCAAGCAACATCAGCAACACAACTTTCAATTCAACATTTACAATCCAATAATACCAATAAAGAGCTGAAGACTAAATACTGCCAATTAAAGCAATATTATAAGATTTCATAACATACGTTCTTGCATCCACAGTTCATAATAACTAATTATTTTCAGCAAATACAATTTAGTCATCTAGTCACTCCGCAACCTGTGCTACCAATCAATTCAATTGCAGCAGACCACATGAAAAATTTCAATAGTTGCAAATCCAAATACCTTGTTTGAAGAATGTCTAACCTATGACAACACTGATAACACTTTCAAGATTTGTCACTCAAAAAAATCTACTAACGTCTCATGAATTGTGAGTTCATTGCATGGTATCTCTTTCAGACAGTAGAGGTAGTAAATTCCTGAAACAACCTTCAATGGTTGTTTCCAAGAAAAGTAAGTCTAGCAGCTTGTTCCCAATCAATGCACAAGTTCAATTTTCAAATAACCACTAACAAAATGAGGTGAGGGGATTCATACTGGATATCAAGCAGATTAGTTTTCAAAGTTAGAAGACAAAGAGGAAGCGTGGAATCATAGATATAGTGTGAAATATTTTACCCTTCAGAAGAAAGCAAAATGCCTTGGAGGACAGACTTGAAAGCCCTTGCAGCGGTTGCACTTAGGCACATAATGAATCCAAACAAGTGAAATCCTGGCTCACCCTGCCATCACCAAGAAAATCTTGTTGGTCTAAACAGGGAACATAGAAAGGAAAATAAGCACCATGCTTTCGAAAGGAACTACTATTTCTTGTCAGTGATATAACAAATTAATAAATTATTTCTGGCGTGCAAATACACAGAATGCCACAACAGTTGATAGTAATTACAAACAGCCAAATTCATGACAAGCTTTAGGGGAGGTATTATATATATAGTTATATGACATGATAAGATGAAATAACATAATTAGTTATGTAGCCTCAATGCTAGTTGATTAAAACAAGACCCAAAAATATAGCTATCCAATCTGAACTAATAAACTAGAATGGTGCAGATCCAAAACAAGAAGAAGAAAACTCCAATTGTCACAGATCCAAAACAAGGTTGCGCTACACATAGATGCTCATCAAAAGCAAATTGCTCATACTTTTCAAGCAAGAACAGATCAGAAAAACCGCACAAACACCCACCACCACCGTCTAATCTGTCCAACAGCACTCCAGATCTGGAGTGGCACATGAACACAATGCAGCATTGACATATTAATCAAAACCATATATGTCTCCATAATTACATAAACACCATTCACACATCAATATGAATCAATCAAGAACCCCATATTTCCATCTCAAAAAGTAACACAACAGGCATCCATGATCATTGACAACACGGCAAACACAAATCAACTGAATAAACTGAGATCATAGATAATGAAACATACCCCACTTGCAATGACAACCCCAGCAACAACAGGGACAAGTGCAGCATAGGTAACCCAAGCCTCTCTCTTAAGGGTAGCCAAATAGGCAAACACAGCAGTGAAAAAGGGTGTGGTTGCACCCACCGCTTGGTTGAATGACACAGCCAGGTACCTGAGGGAGATGTTGCCACCCACCACAGACCCACAAAAGACAAGGCTCAAAGTTGCAATCTTTATGAACTGAGACCTTGATTTGATCATCTGCTGAGGCACCACCTTGAAGAACACAATGGACACATAGCTGAGAACAGCACAAGCTGACATGTGACACATTGTGAGAAAGATTGGGAACTTGAAACCATAGTTTGAAAGCAGGTACTTATTCAGAAGGATCACACCAATGTTTGAAGAGTACCAAAGTGTCACCAGAAAACATATGAACAGGTTCTCCTTGCTGTTGGAAGTCATCACCTTCCCAACCTTACCTCCACTCCCTCCCTGCATTTCCATTTTTCACATCAACCCCTCATCATTACATTTTGAATATTAAGTAAAAAGTTGGTTTTTTTTTTCTTTTTGTTTCTTTCTTTGTTTAATTTATAGATCTGGATTGTCTTTAATCAATAAATAGTGCAATTGATGTAGTTTAATGTATAATACTAGTATTATTCTACAATTGTTTATACCAAAATATAGTTTAATATGAACCATTAGATGGAAGATTTAAATGATTCATGTTCTATGATTACACCAAGTGCATCATTTTTTACATGAGAGAATCTAACTAGGACTTACCGCACTTTCTTTCACATTGGCCTTGGTTTCATTTTCAAAGGATGCTTTGGATCTCATGCTGTAAGAACCATGTGTACTCATTGAAACTTTTTGGTTGGTGTGTGGGTAGATGGGGGGAGACCCTTGTTTTGTTTGTGTTAAAAAAAATTTAACTGTTATCTATCATAGCATTTAGTTATGAATATCGTTTGAAAGGTTGTGGAGAGGAATTGGGTCGGGTTTTGTTGATGTTATTATTGCTAATCTAATGAAGTAGCACCAAATTAGAGAAAGGGCTATCTATAGAAAATTTTTTGGTTGACATATTCAAGGAACCACCAAAAAGTGTTATGCTTCAAGGGCCACTACGATTCACTCTTAACCGATCATTGTGCTCACAATTTAGCCACTAATAATACCATGGAAATGCTTTTTGCACATTTTAAAGATATTTTGGATAAAATTGTATTGTTTTTGTAATAATATACATTTGTTGCTTTTTTTGTATGTGTACAGGTCGGGAAAATTTTCTCATGTAACATGGTAAATTATGTATAAGTTTTATATTTATCTTTTTAATTAACTTTTATAGTGTCTCACTCAATATTTGTCAAGGAAAAAAGAAATGTAAAACTTACAATTCATATATAAAATTTTAACATGGAAAATTTTATTATCGCAAATTAGAGTAATTTTTTATAATCAATACCTTTAAGACATTAGTTAAGAAATTAAAATTAATTTTTTTAATAAAAATTATAGTGAACTGTTTTAATTTTTTTTTAAAAAATATGCTTATTACTTTTTTGGAAAAAGTATTTTTAATTACTTAAACAATATCTTAAAATTGTTTATTAATATTTTATTTTCATAATCACTTGAATAATAGGGGAAAATATAATGAAATTGAGTTTGATATGATCGAAAGAAAAAAGGCAAGTTAGTATTATTTTGAGAGAGGTAATTTAGAAATCAGTGGTCCTTCCACCACCCAACTACGCCCCTCCCCCCAAAAAAAAATATTGAAAGGATAGGAGTAAAGTATTCCTGATTTTTGGGGTGTTTTACTTTGTATTTTTTTGGGTAATAAATTAATAATTAGAGATTTAATCTTAACAATTAAATAAAACGAACTATAATTAATGGGAAATGAGACCTGTTTGCGTTGCGAATGAAAAAAAGCGGTGCAAGGCGACACGTTGGGAACAAAACGACAAAGAGTTGGACGCTTGTCGTATAATCCCATCTTTCTCTGAACTGTGATCCAAACGGCATCCCTCGTCACCACCGACACCTTCCATTCCAAACCATTCACAAAGCCCTTTTTTGAGGTTATTATTTTATTTTATTTAACTCAAACTTAGCACTGTTTTTAAGCATTTAAATATAATAATTTTTTGTTAAAAATATAGCATTGATTATATAATTTTTAAAGTAATAAAATTTGTTAAAGAAAATTATCTTATTTAATCATTATTTTAATTTGAGACTGAAATTGATCTTTTCAACGTTCATTTTATCTAAAAAAATTATCTTTTGTACACAATAAATACAATACTAAAAATATGCAAAAAACAAATGTCTGGACAGATTATTTTGGCTTTGACAAAGAATTTTTATGGCAAAATATGTGAGATTAAGTAGTACTAGTTAAATAGTCTTCCACGCATTAATAATTTCAATATAGGAATCTTATGTCGTAAATAAAATTTCCTAAAATCAAATTTATTTTCATCATCATTAATCAGTGTTGACATCATGACATATATATAGTCTTTTCAATGGTCATTATGTCATGGATATAAGATTTAATTATGTTGATATTTAGAAAGAAAAAATTGCAATATAACTTAGATTTTTTTTGCCGTAGAAAATTAAAGTCCCTAAAATAAAATTTATTGATTTAAAAATGCTTAATTATTGATCTCTTAGTGTTCTTAAATAGTATATTATCTTATAAACTAATATGTATTGTTAAAAGATGAAATAAACAAGTAGGTTATTTCCTTCAGAAAGAGACGCGAAATATAGATGATGCTTGCAGAGGCAAGAAGATGCAGATAGAAGAAGCATGTCAATGTCACTAATCAATGAAAATGAAAATATGGTGAAGCCCTCATATTTATTTGGGACCGTTTTCAAGAAGCTCGCTGTTTTTCTGTAAAGAGTTTATTGTATATATATATATATGTGTGTCTTTTCTTCTTCTTCTTTTTTCCATGTTCATTGCCAGCTTTCTTTATAATTGATAGAACATGTTCTACAATCCTAAGTTTTATTTCACGTTGAACTAACAAACTGTGCAATTTATATACCTTTAATTTTGACTTAATTATACTTTTAGTCTTCTAATTGTAGTGTTTATTTAACTTTAATCTCTCAATTTTTAATTCCTTGTTTTTTAATTTAACAAATTTGCCTCTCCATTAAATATCATTAACTTGGGACGATCCTTAACCATCTTATGATAATGAGCTTCAACTTACTCATAAAATAATAGTTTTTTTTGTCATTTATAGCATCAAATTATGAGTAATTGAAACAAATGTTAATAAAATCTTTAAGTGATAGGATTATTAGAGAATTATGACATTAAATTAAGTATAAAGTCAGAAACAAATAACAATATAATTTAATTTTAAGGACAAAAAAATTAACAATTTTTTTAAATAAAAATTCATTTAATAACTTAAATAAACAATAAATAAAATTGATTGAAAATATAAATTTATATATTTTTTAAATGTTAACCTCAATTCTTAGCACTAAAAAAATTAATAATATAATAATAAAATTTTATTAAAAAATATTTATTATATTTTATAACTTTAATATGATAAATATATATTTTTTATAATTTATTTATTTATAAATACTTAAACTCAACCTTAAAAGAATGAATATAACAAAAACTTTTTTTTCGTTAAGTATAAATATAAAATTTTAACAAAAGACCTTTAAGTACCCAAAAACCTTAAGAAGCAAATGTCTAGTTTTTGAAGCCTTACACGACCTTGAATCATTCAAAGTTCAAACCTTATCATGATAATCCATTCCATGTCTTGATGCAGGTGCTCACTTGAATAATATGTTTTTCTATGAAAGGAATGTAGTCTAACTTTAATAGTAATAGAGTTAAAACAAAGGTTGGAATTGGAAAAGCAATATATAGCAAGAAACATAGAAATGGTTAACAGGAAAGAATGAGCAATATTAGCATATATGCATGAAATAAAAAAGCATGTGTTGTAGTGAAGCACCAAAACAAGAGAAGAATTGCATGTGACATATTGCAGAGTGGTTATGGGGTTCCTTTCCTTGTCCTTCCATAATGTTTGCAGTGTGGACTGCCAACATCAGACATGTTTTGTACTTTAAATGATAAGGGAATGCTGAAAAAGAAGAAGAATCAAAGCTCTCGTACTTCAATATAACAAATAATCCAAATATTTAGTTTATGTGTACTTTGTGCTGTTATATTGTACTCTTTTTTCTTTTTAATCAAAGTTAAGATTTAAATATATTCTTAGTCTTCATATTTTTGTGAAATCTTAATTTTTTTTAGTTTTAGTTTTTTTTTAATTCAACGATCTTTATCTTTATTAATGACATAGTTCAATAAAAAAAATTTAATATATGGTGACATTTTAGTTTGTTACATTATAAGTGTAAGATTTTAAAAAAAAAACTAAATGTTTAAGTAAAAAACTAGTTGGTATCACTATAATAACAATGAATCTTATTGTTTGCACTGTCTAAAAATTAGAATAATGAAAGAAAAGGAATTATAAATGTAATTAATGGAAACTCTTTAAAGTCATCGAAATTGAAAGTGGTTTGAAATATTAATTTAATTATTAAAAAATATTGTAATATCAAATTGGCTAACTGAGCAATAAATTGTTGGTATCTAATATTGGTTAAATTATTACGTGTAGTTGAAAAGGAAGAAAGGAGAAAGAAACAATTTTAACAGAGCTGAGAGAAGAGGAGAAAAGAAAAGTAAAATTGAAAAGGTCTCTTTGTTTAGTTTAATTGAGTTTTGAAAAGGAAGGGGAAGGGGAGTTTTCTTGTTTGATTAGTTAGAGAGAAAATAAAATAATAGTAATATATCATTACCTTTTTATAAATATTAATAAAAAAATAAAAATAAAATTTTAAAATTAATTTTGTTGGTATATTTTGAAAATTATAAATTAGTGTTTTTTTCTTTTATATCTTGCAATATTAAACTAGAGGATAAAAATAGGAAAAACTATAATAACTTTTTTTTTCTCAAAATTTGAACTAAGTTATATTATATTTTTTTAAAAAAATTTCCCCTATTTCTCTTCTATATCCATTACTTAAATAAGATGTTTACGTAAAAAAAAATTTAATCTTAATAAAATTTTATATAAATAAATATATATTATGCTAGATTATTGAAAGAAAAAGAGGGTTTAAGAATAACTTAATATATAGATTTTGATAAAATAAATATAATAGAATGTAAATCTTTGGTACAATAATTTTCTTCAATTAAATTATTGTATTCTTCTAATAAGACTTGATGTCTTACCTTTTAGACCGGAGAAGAGTAGATTTTGTTTGATTTATTATATTTGAAATTATGACTTTTTTTATTTTAAATCTATTATATTTTTATTATTTCCAATGGATTTAAAATTTTTTACTTATTAAGTCTATATTATTTTTTATTAATAATCTAAAAAATTTACTAAAATTAGATAACTTATATTAAATTTATAAAAAAATGTAAATAATTCATATAAATATAATAAGTAACGTGTAGTCTATCTTATTTTATTAGAAATATAAACTTTTTAATAATTTTCTACTTGAATAGCATATTTATTTTGACATTTATATCACAAAAATTTTAGGCATACAATTGTGTATTATTTACTTTTAGACTCCACTTAAATAATTTGGTCCATCTCATATAAAAATAAGGAATTATTGCAGGTTTTATCAAATCTAAGTGTAATTAAACTACAATAATTACCACAGTTACATGTATTTCAATGATATAAATTAAATATGGATAAGCAGTGTATAAATTATATATAATGTGATATTAATCATGTTTATTTTTAACTAGTGTAAACTTTAATCTTTATATAGATCAATTCAAAATTACAATATAATTATTGCATAAAATAATTTTAGAATAAAAACACATTTAATTTATTCTGTATCAAACAAAAATATATGAAATATAAACAAGACTTTCACTATTAAGGAATAATTAATAATTACACCCATATAAGCGGTGTGCTCATAAAAAAATTTATACACTAAGCCTTTAGTAAGTAGATAAGATAGTATA